CCTGGCGCTGCACTCGCACGAACTGAAGCGGTACACCCCGTGTTGGGTCGTGTGTGCTCCGTGCTCCACCCTGCGTGTAATGTGTGCTCCATATGGCACGCTCCACCCCACACCCTGCCTGCTCTGTGCCGCACATTTACGCGAGGTCACGCTTTTCTGATTCGTAGCTTATTATCAATTCTTATGCTCCAGATGCGTGCATAAAATTCTGCATGTGGGAATCGATTATTATTCAGCATGCAATTGATTCATGGAAACCCTGCAGGTACTACAGATTCTCATACTCTACAAGGGAAAAACAGAGGAACAGTTCTTGAATTGTGATCCTGAATCATGTCAGTTATTTTCATTGTGGGGTAGCTCCGAACCCCGCGTGCACTCCGACGCCCACGCTTGCCCGTGAGCAGGAGCTCCGTATAAACATCGGCACTGGAGCGACGGAGGCCGCGGGTGCAGTGCCTGGGCAGTGCGTGTACGGGTTCCAAGGGGGATCTGTATCGTTGCCGTGTGTATATTGCAGCGTGGCCGTGCAGGTGGATAAGCTTCAGTGGGAGGAGCCTCCAGACCCGAGGGACTCCCCGGTCTGCATCCTGGGTCCTGAGCGACCGGCACAGTCCCCGGTTGAGTGCCAAGAGATCAACCAAAAACTTGACATCCGGTGGAAACTCATATCCTTCCCTTTCACCGGCAGGGTGGGGCCGGGTGAGGCTAGGCCAGGCCGGGTGAGGCCAGGCCGGCTTGGCTCGTGTGGCATTAAGCGCTGGGTTAGGGCTTAATTTCTCACCGAATATTTAACGGGTTGCCAGTAGACTGAGTCGGTGGCAGTTCACCATTAGCCACAGTTTTTGTGAGAAGTATACTCGATTTGGTGTGCAGGCTGCAGAAATATTTTCGGGCTAACAAATTAACTTGCTTATTCACTTAAATTCACTCTTTTATTCCATCATATTCATTCATAACAATGCACAGACATTTACTGACATTTATTCATTCCCACACTACGTCACGACAGCCCCTGTGCCAGATTAGATGCACTTTAAAGTCGTTGAATGAAATGTGGAAGGCTTGGGAGTAGGTCACAGGGTTGAATAGCTGACTTGCACCATCTATGCTCCCCACATCGTCATCCTCCACCGTTCGTTGTTGCTCCCCAATAGCGCACTTCACGAGCCTTATCTGCAGAGGCCGATTGTACATTTGCACACACAAAGACAAAGCCTATTAACAGACTGTTGGGGCAATTGCTTTTAGCGAGCACCTATGAAGGCTGGCACGAGACACAAGGGGGTGGGAGGCCAGCACCAGGTCCGGCCGACAGTACACGCGCATTGTGTGTACACGCGCATTGTACTGTACGCACGGCCGTGGCCTCCTTGAGCGCGGAGTTTCCTCCTTGACCCAGCGGCGCTCACCTGTCAAGCGGGCGCGAGGGCGAGGCAAGCGTGGAGACGGTGCTGAGCACGGCCGTGCTGGAGCACCTGCGCCTTGCTCCACTGCAGTGGGGTGGGTGGCACCAGTACACACATGGGTCTATACACAGGTGGACACACACACAGGTTAAGACATCAACTTTGGTGAACATGCACAGGTGTATGCGCACGCACACATGCAGGTGGATACAAACGCACAGGACTAGACATGGTACACACGCACACGGGTGTACGCATAGACACAGAGGCACACAAACAGGTGTATAGAAACACACAAAAGTGAGCGTATACGCTGCGATGATAGCGGTGGTGGAAATGTGTGAGCATGCGCTGGCGGGGAGGTGGTGCGTTTACGGTAGTTGTGATGGAAATGGGTGTTGTGGTGGTGGTGCGATGATGGCAGTGGTGGAGATGTGCGAGCAAGTGTGCGTGGGCGGAGAGATTGTGCACTGCCTCGTGGGAGAGCCGGCTCCGTTCACCGTGATGCTCACCAACCACTCGTGCCGCGACGTGGGCCTCTTCACCATGAGCGTGGAGCCGTGCCGGGACCTTCACAATGGCGAGACGGAGACGGCCGGCATAGCTCACGAGGTCGTCTTCGTGGGCTCCACCTCGACCCTCGTTGGCACGGTGAGATCACTCGCTGGATCGCTCGCTGGATCACTCGCTTCCTCGCCCACCCATGTATCCACGCACTCGTTCGCCAGTTCTCCCTTAGACTTGCTGCCCTGCTCGCTCGCTCTCTCATTCACTCAGAGCTGCTAAATCCCTCGTTCACTCTTTCGCTCCTTCACCCATATGCTCCCGACTCGCTCACCCACTCGCTTTGTCGCTCGCTCAAGTCTGTACCACTCGCAGATCTGCTACCTTTCGCGCTGCGTGTCACGGGGCGTTTATTTCAGCATCGTCTCGCACCCGCAGGTGAGCCCCGGTGGGAGCTACTCCTTCTCCTGCTCGCCGCTCTTCCTCTTCCCCGGAGACTATTTCCTTGAAATCAAACTCCAAGAGAGCGGGGGCAGCACCCTGCCGCCAGCGTGGCTCTGCCCCCCGCGAGTGCACGTCAGCGCCACCGTGCCGTGCTCCCTGCCCTGAATCTCACGCCCCGCCGCCCGGCCGGCGGGTTGACGCCGGCAGGCGGCGTCGCCGCGGTTACGTCTCGTCTACGACACCGAGACCGCGCCAGGACCCAGCGACCCTCGCCGGCGTCCTTGAGCACCGAGGGTGACGCGGACAACGTGGGGGTCGGGGGGAGGGCTTCAGCAAGCGCCGGGCCGGCCTGGCACGAGGAAGCCACGAGCCGCCGTGTCCGCCGCTACAGCGGCTGCGAAACGAGACGAGGGGTGAAGAGGGAGGCCGCTCGGTGTCGCTGTCCCCCACCTGCCCTCCGACCCCCACGCCTTGCCCACTCCATCCCGCCCACCCCATCGTCTGCCTCATCACCCACCCCCCCTGCATAATGAGTCGAATCAGGGCCTGACCGTGCCCCTCCTCGTCGCGTTGCTTTTATTCCCGAGTCTCCGTGTCGGCCGATCCGTACGGTGGCCAGGACTGCCGGACTCCCGGCGTGAAATCGCACTGCTGGGACGTTGGGGGCGTCGGTGGTAACCACGTGTCGGTTTCTGATCGGCACCAGTGCACCAGTGCTGGCCGGCGCCGATATGCCGCCAACGTGACCCGTGTCAGTATGCGCACGGGCGTCCTCAACGGTACGCTATGCCAGCGTCTGGCCCTGCCGGGGTGTCGGTGTGGCCGGCGGCGAGGCGGCTGGCCTTGGAGTGACGGCAGGACCTCCTGCCCGACTGCTGCGCCCGCCTTCGTCGCAAGCTTGAAGCTGCTCATTATATCCCGGTCGTCATCATCATCATCGTCCTCATCATCGTAAATACCTTTATCTCGCTTCACACATGGTTGTATATTTTGGCGAGGCTGTGAGAGGCTGTCTCTGTGTGTCTGGGCCAGGTGGCTCTGTGCCCCACCCCACTCACGCACACCGAGCAACAGACACTGGGACACAGCGACTTACGCTGACACGGCTTGACTCGCAGACACAGCCATCTGTAGACACCACGACAGACCAGACACAGCGACAGATACCGTGATGCAGATCACGCAAAGACAGTGGCATACACATCATCACTGGGTTGACAATTAAAAGCAGCAGTTACTCCATGCGAAAAATTAATTAATTAAGTCTTGAATGTGGTCTAATTTTAATAGTGTCCTATCAACGTTTCAAACGCACAGACACGAGACGACACTCAGGCACGAGACTACACACAGACATGAGACTACACACAGACACAACACTACACACAGACACAACACTACACTACACACAGACACAACACTACACACAGACACGACACCACACACAGACACGACACCACACACAGACACCACACCACACAGACATGATACGACAGAGACATTACGATACAGGCACCTGGACACGGCTTCAGGTTCCGTGGGGAGATGGGGGAAGTCTGGTGGGTCTCATCCTGGATCAGGAAGGCGCGCTCCTGTAAATAATAAAAACTACAACGAAGCAAAATAAACTGCCTCCGTTTGCGGCATGAAAGTCCTCGGAGGGCAGCCAAAATCCGCAGGAGTTTTCCGTCTCGTGTTGTGCAGCAAAGAAAGAGAAACGAGGCACGGCGTTTGCGAGAACGGGGGTTTAATTTCTGCATTCGCGATTCTGACTCGGTTGGATTCGGAACGTGTTCACAGCTCAAGACATTTTTGTTTTAGCCTTGCAAACCCTGCTGGCCGAGAAGGAGACCAGGATAATTGATCTCCATGGGTACACAACGCACACCGTATACACGGGGAGTACACGCACACACACTGTATACACGGGGAGTACACGCACACACACTGTATACGCGGGGAGTACACGCACGCACACCGTATACACGGGGAGTACACGCACGCACACCGTATACACGGGGAGTACACGCACGCACACCGTATACACGGGGAGTACACGCACGCACACCGTATACACGGGGAGTACACGCACGCACACCGTATACACGGGGAGTACACGCACGCACACAGTATACACGGGGAGTACACGCATTATACACAGTATACACGGGGAGTACACGCACGCACACAGTATACACGGAGTACACGCACGCACACAGTATACACGGGGAGTACACGCATTATACACAGTATACACGGGGAGTACACGCACGCACACAGTATACACGGGGAGTACACAGTGCGTATTGCCATTCGAGTTTGTTGAGCTTTCTGTGTATGTTCATTCGTATGCTTTGTCTTGTTCAGATCTATGCTATGGATGCAGTCATGACAAGGACTTAAGGTTAAAAAAGTAGTGCATCAGGATTTGGGTCCGCGGTCAGTAGACTCTACTGACCGCGGACCCAAATCCTGATGCACTTGTTTAACCTGAACACTACCCCAGTCCTTGTCATGACTGCATCCATAGCATAGATCTGAACAATGAACGTTACCCATACACAGCCATCAACTAGACGGTGATCAAACCATAATACAATCACCTAAAACCCTTAACACTGACCATCGTTCTTGCTGTAATTTCATATGCTCAGTCTAATCATAGTCCCCATCTTCCCCGACTTACAACCCTACCAATATCCCTTCGTCGAGCCCTATCCTTTGACAATACCACTAACCCCAGTCCTGGCCCGTGGCCCGAGCCCCAACTCTACCACATGAAAGTCCTGGGAGGGTTGTGAACAGTGCAGTTAAGGAGGGATCGAGTGAATTCTGAGTGGATAATAAATCAATAATGTGAGTTTCTGCTCGAGGCTGCTCGCTGAGCCCCTGGCGAGCAGCAGCTCGCACGGGGCCCCGTGTCGCACGAATCCCACATCAGACGAGGCTGGAGAAGCCTCGGGGACAGCTGCTCGTGATTTAAACTCGCACGTTTGCTGCCAATGCGGAGGCCATCAGGTTAGCGGCAGCACTGTCCACCGCTGAGAGATGGCCGTGGGCGATGATGGATTGATGCTGGTTGGTCGTGGTTTTGGTGGATGTATGTAATGGTTGATGGCCACAGAAGCTGCTTGATTCTGATTGATAGTGGGTGTTGTCTGGTGACTGTGGTTGCTGGTTGATGGTGGTTGTGCATGTTGTGGATACTGGCTGTGGATGGTGGTTGGGGCCGAACCGCGCGTGTGCAGTGGGGAAGTAATATCCCGCAAGCGGGTGAGAGTAACTCTGCCGTCCATCCCGGGGAGACCGGTGGAACCCGGGGGGGAGGGGGGGGTCTCTCCGGCAGCCCCCGGGCCCATTACGACGTGACTGGAGGGTCCAGCCCCTTGATGGTCAGACTGGTCTCGGTGAGAAAGGAGAGCCCTGGGGAGGCCCCCACCTCGGGCTCCGCTTCCCAAGCCCAGCTCTGCTGCTCCCCCGATCCAAATGCCACGTAGAAGAGCGCTCCGAACAAGCTGATTGCGGCCGAGAGGTAGAACACCACCTGCCACTCCATCAGCGTGTTCTGCACACCACGAGCACGCGACGTTACCGTGTGTCCGTAACGGAAGAACGTTACCGTGACGGGGCTGTGCTGGTCTGTGGTTCCTACGTGTTCGGTCAGGTAGCCGGTGGCCACGGGCGCCAGGAAGCCCGGGAGGTTGCTGATGGTGTTGGAGATTCCCAGCAGCACCGCGGCGGACCTGCGATGGCATCCGACATATATCTCTTGGCGATTCATCACAAAGATCCCCCGTGTAGCCTGCGCAGACTTTTGAGGCAAGTCCTCTTAGCGAGCACCTATGAAGGGCGGAGCTACACTCGTTGGCCAGCACCACACCCAAGCCGGCTGTGGTGGTGGACGTGGTATCTATCGGTAGTTGTGGTCCGATGAGGATAGATAAACTTGCCAAGGTGGAGGAAGCAATCCCAAAATGTAGAGGCTTTTGAACAGGGCCCTACTTTAATAATAATGCAAGCTTTCAATGCATTTCCTCTGGTAATATTAATAAGATAAACACATTCTAGGTACCAATGTGGGGGGCAATTTATCACCACGTTCCCCCCTCCAGATCAGCCACAGTTGTGGCTGTGTGGTTGGGATTGTCGTGGTAGCTTTAATTGAAGTGTTGGCTTGGTTGTGGTGCAGGCCTGCAGCCAGCCACTGTGGAGGCGAGGGTCGGTGGATCGCGTCAATGTCGCCACACTCCCTTCCCGTGCGTGTTGAGGAGCCGTTCGCTGGTTCGCCAAGAAACGGCAGTACAGCAAATGTGGACTCCACCTCTCCCGTCTGCACGGGATGCAGTGTTTCCCTCTCGCACACGTGGGTTTTTTCTAGATTCTCCGTTTTCTTCCGATAAATAAACGTTAATTAATTGACCGAAACCCCCTTAATACCGCACTGTATATGGAGGGCAAATTGCTGGCGCCGGCTCACTGCGTGGCTGCCTTCCCGCTCGCCTGTGGTTCCTCCTCGCGCCTCTGAGTCGCCGCTCTTTCATCCCACACTGTGTGTTGACAATGCTGCTGTTGGAGGTCGTGGCTGTGTCTCACTGGGGCGCGATGTCCAGCTGGTTGACCCAGCAGCCAGCCGTGGCGAAGGAGCTGGTGCCCACGGCGAACGTGAGGAAGCACACAGCGAGGACGTGGTCACAGCCCACGAACGCGGCGCCCACCAGGAAGGCGCCGGGGGCTGCGAGACCTGGACGCAAACGTCACCGCGACATGCAACGCCACGTCGCGACGCAGCATGTCGATGGTTTCATGTGGCCAATGAAGAGCAGCGAGTTTGGTGGACGAATGGATGAAGGAGCGAATTGAGTGAACGTGGGTCGCACCTAGGAAAGTCAGGGACTTTCGAGTGGCCGTGGTGGAGAGCAGCTTCCGCCGCAGGATGGCGTCCGCGGCCCACCCGCCGAGCAGCGTGCACAGCCAGCCCGCGAGGTAGGGCAGCGCGCTCAGCTGGCCGTTCTGCGGCCACGCGCACCACACACTCCAGGGTCAGCAGGACATATTTCTGAGTCGACCTGGGTCTAGTACAACCGAGCAGTTTACCGCAATAAAGTTCACCGCAAGACCAGTGTCAAATCTCTGTCTACATCGATTCCTGCCACGAGAACACGGATGGTGACTTTCGGACAAGTGGCAAGGACACGCAGGCGACACGCACACCGCGGCAGTCTGCCGGGTGGTCCCCTAACCCAGCCACCCTAGCCGTGCCCCCGGGGGGGCCTGTCCACGCCTTCCGACCCTGCCGCCTCACCTCCTGGAGATCGAAGTGCAGCACGGTGCTCATGAAGGTGGGCATGGAGGTAAAGATGGTGTAGAAGGCCCAGCTGCTGCAGAACATGGCCACGCTGAGCGCCCACACGGGGGCACTCAGAGCGATGCGCAGCCAGGGCACGGACGAAAAGCTCTTCTCAACCTGAGCCCCGCGGACACGGAGGGCGAAATATCGGTAGTGACGGGGTAGGCGAGGAAGGGGATGTGGTTTTAGAGAAGCAGATCGTAGGCAGAGCAGACTTAAAGGGACGAAAGTCCAGGGGACTGAAAGATCGTCATCGTACTGATTTTGGTATTTTCTTAATGTGCGCACAGGTTCACTCGCACTGCAGAACTTACGCTGATCCAGCCCTCATTTCTAGTCACTCCATTACCCACTCAACAACTTACCCACCCGTTCACTCCCTGACCCACTCAACGACTCACCCACCCGTTCACTGCCTCACCCACTCAACGACTCACCCACCTGTTCACTCCCTTACCCACTCAACGACTCACCCACCCGTTCACTACCTCACCCACTCAACGACTCACCCACCCGTTCACTCCCTTACCCACTCAACGACTCACCCACCCGTTCACTACCTCACCCACTCAACGACTCACCCACCCGTTCACTCCCTTACCCACTCAACGACTCACCCACCCGTTCACTACCTCACCCACTCAACGACTCACCCACCCGTTCACTACCTCACCCACTCAACGACTCACCCACCCGTTCACTACCTCACCCACTCAACGACTCACTCGAGCCACCCGCTCACCGGCGATCAGTCGCCTTATCGTCACTCTTCTATCGCTACGTCCATGATCGTTGTTGCCGTGAACTTCGCTCGTTGATTCCTCCACCAGTGTTGAGGACTCGGTCTATCAGACACTTTCGTTTCCTCCACACTGTTCAACCGCCACATCTCGGGTCACAACACCCCCACCCCCCCACCCACCCACTGGCGTCACAACACCCCCACCCACCCACCCACTGGCGTCACAACACCCCCACCCACCCACTCGGTCACACCACCACCCACCCACTCGGTCACACCACCCCCCCACCCACTCGGTCACACCACCCCCACCCCCCCACCCACTCGGTCACACCACCCCACCCCCCACCCACTCGGTCACACAACATCTCTCTCTGCTGTTTCCCTCGCACTTGTCCACCTTGGAATTCCCTCCCATCATCTCCTTCCCCGAGTTCTTGCAAAAATAACCTCGCCCACTTCAAGACTCGTGTTAACGCATCGCAATCTTAACGTTGCTGTTGGTTGTTGTTTGCACGGCATTTTGGAGCCTTGAGCAGCCTGTGCTCGGCAACCATTTACAACCGAAGGTGCTCGACTCACAGTGAGGAGGTGCGAATACAGGAGTCAGAATGGGAGTCGGGCAAAGGTTGAAATCCAGCCCCGTTGAGACCGAGCCGCGTCCTCCATCACTCACGGCCTGGCGCTCCGCCCGCAGCGTGGTCTGGATGTACTCTCGCTCGGCCAGGGAGATTCGCGGGTGGCTGTCCGGGGAGCTGAAGGCGAAGTAGTACCAAAAGAAGGACCACAGCAGGCCCATGCCCCCTGCCGCCACGAGAAGGATCGCGTTAGGCCCACGCCGAGACACGGGCCGGGTCCCCGCGCTCGTGTCTCCCCCCGTGCCTCCCCCCGGGCCTCCGTCTCCCACGTGGGGTCATGTTTATCAAGTCGCCGTTCGTTCATGAACTTTTGAGAAGTCCGCTCCTCTGAGGCTGACGTGGCCGGTGAATTTCCTGGGGAGTTCCCACTTGTGAGTCAACACCCCTCTGCTGGCTGTACTGCCGTCTCGACCTGGGGGGGCCGTGACGCGTCCCAGGGGCCCCGCGAGCCCCGCGGCGCGTATCGAGCGTGGCCGCGCTCCGCGCCCGTCGGCTTCACGGGGGCAGTCAAGGACACTGTGACGTCACTGGCAAGAGTTGGCCGTTGTGTGCTGGCGTCAGGGTCCACATTTGCCAAATGACACCGCAAATTACTGAACTGAGATCACAGCACCAATCATCGCCCCCCTACAGGCAGACGACTACCCCAGGTCACTTGCTGTGCTCGTGACGAACTGAGCACGTGCTGTTTACGTGACAACCCTGACGAGTTGGCTGTGTCGGGTGGTGGCGGGTTTTGACGACACATTTATATATTTACGCGATCTAACCCAAAACACCTCTTATGGATGATATTGGTCGCGAAAGCATACGTGTTAAAATGTTTTATCCTCTTTAAAACTTCCCATCTGCTGTCAGTGTGGTGATGTTTGTACTTTTTAGAATGCAAAGTACCACGGGATGGATTTTTGTAAAAGGGGCCACATCGGTTTGGCCGGTGTGAGTCCCCTGTGTCTGTGTGCCCCCCTCTGCCCTGTGCCCCCTCTGCCCTGTGCCCCCCTCTGCCCTGTGTCCCATTGCACCCCTCACCGCTCTCTCAACACCGGAGATCGCGCTGCAAACCATTGCGAGCGTCGGTGCTTCAACGGAAGCGCAGCAGCCGCTCATTCAGCCTCGGCTGAAGTCATTGGCCGGCTATCACACCTGAACGGAGATATTTGAGTGGCTCTTCCTGCAGCCGCACTTTGAGTGCCACTGCCTCCCCACCGAACAACCGCGATGTTTCCCCCCGTGCCCCCCGTGCCCCCCGTGCCCCGCGTGCCCCCCGTGCCCCGCGTGCCCCCCGTGCCCCCCGTGCCCCGCGTGCCCCGCGTGCCCCCCGTGCCCCCCGTGCCCCCCGTGCCCCCCGTGCCCCCCGTGCCCCCCGTGCCCCGCGTGCCCCGCGACTCCTCGTACAGAAGATGTAGAAGATTGCAGGCCACCCGAGCGTCTCAGCGATCATCCCCGACAGCGGCATGGTCACCACGGTGCCGAAGTGTCCACCTGGACGCGGCACACGGGGGAAGGGGGGGGGGGTGGAGTGGTGGTAGTGGTGCTAATGGTGGTGGTGGTGGTGGTGGCTGTGTGTTCTTACCGGAGTAACAGATGCTGATGAGGGTGCTTCTCTCATACGGAGGCGCCCAGAGCGCCCACATGGCGTGCATGGTGGGGTAGGTGACGCCCTGCGGACCACACGAGTGCTCACCACCACCACCATTACCAGCTCAACCACGTCAGACCCCCACCGTGACAACAACACCCCAACACCCCACCACCTTCACCACCAAAACAGGACACCAGACCCTACCGATGGTACAAGTGCCTGAACCACACCCACACTTTGCCCTTACCACGCACTCATCCGCAGCAGAATGTCACGACCACGTTAACCACGACTCCCAAGTCACTACGAGAACCACCTCAACCACGAAAGTGAACCACCAGTCCCTGCCAGCATGCACCACCAGCATGCACCACCAGCATGCACCACCTCAACCACCAGCATGCACCACTAGTCCCCACCAGCATGCACCACCAGTCACCACCAGCATGCACCACCTCAACCATCAGCATGCACCACCTCAACCACCAGCATGCACCACCTCAACCACCAGCATGCACCACCTCAACCACCAGCATGCACCACCAGTCACCACCAGCATGCACCACCTCAACCACCAGCATGCACCACCAGTCACCACCAGCATGCACCACCTCAACCACCAGCATGCACCACCTCAACCACCAGCATGCACCACCTCAACCACCAACATGCATCACCTCAACCACCAGCATGCACCACCAGTCACCACCAGCATGCACCACCTCAACCACCAGCATGCACCACCTCAACCACCAGCATGCACCACCAGTCACCACCAGCATGCACCACCTCAACCACCAGCATGCACCACCTCAACCACCAGCATGCACCACCTCAACCACCAGCATGCACCACCAGTCACCACCAGCATGCACCACCTCAACCACCAGCATGCACCACCTCAACCACCAGCATGCACCACCAGTCACCACCAGCATGCACCACCTCAACCACCAGCATGCACCACCAGTCACCACCAACATGCACCACCTCAACCACCAGCATGCACCACCTCAACCACCAGCATGCACCACCTCAACCACCAGCATGCACCACCTCAACCACCAGCATGCACCACCAGTCACCACCAGCATGCACCACCAGTCACCACCAGCATGCACCACCAGTCACCACCAGCATGCACCCGTCACGCTCCACCACTGACGCCGGAGTCGCCGTCTCTGGGGAGGCACGGACGGGTGGCCCCCCCACGCGGCTCCAGGCCGGACCCCGTCGCTCCCTGGCGGTCGTCGGGACGAGGTGGGGGGACCCCCCTGGCTGAGCTGCTGCAGCCTCAACGCGGAGCAGCGCCCCGGGGACTCGAGAGGGGCGGCGTGGGTCGCGCGCCTCCACTGACACCGCGCACCACGGAGTGGATCAATGGCAGCTCAGACCCCATGGATGACAAGTTGACTATTTGGCCGCTATTTCAAACGATCATTCCCTGGAGCGACTCGTTGTTCCACACGAGGGGGCGTCGATAGGCGAGTACAAGTTAATGAATGAGGGGCGTTTGGTGGTGCAGGGCCGACCCTGGCAGGCCCCGAGCGCCCCGTGTGTGGCACGCGTGATGGACGAGCGTAGAGCGAGAAGACGCCGCACGGAGCGTTGCCGGCGAGACGGCTGCGCTATCATCGCCATGACTGCGCCTCTTTGCCCAGGAAGGCGACGCTTTTTTTATATGTTGCGTCATCGCTGCCGATGAAACTCGGATCCGTCATCATGAGCCGGGGAGTGGAGACGTCCAGATTATCGGCATGGAGGGTGCAACGACAGTCGTCTGCACTGGCCAGAGTGGTGAAGTATGGTCAAGTCACTTTGGTGACCTTCATCCAGAAGTGGATTGCCAAAGGGACGCGCTGCTGCTGCTGCTACAGAAAGTGCGGCCTGGATACGAGAGGATGTGGCTCGAAGTTCTCGCTAGAGGTCTCGCTAGGGGGTCTCGCTAGGGGGTCTGGCTAGGGGGTCTCGCTAGGGGGTCTCGCTAGGGGGTCTGGCTATAGAGTGGAGTCTGGTGAGGGTGATCGACCCCCCCCCCCCCCGGGGAGCTGGTGGACCGCCTGGAGCCGTGTGGGAGCGCACCTCTCCGATGCCCTCCAGCACGCGCACGACGATGATCCAGGGCACCCCGAGGTCGGCGGCCAGCGGCGTGAGCAGCGTGAGCAGCGTGGTGACCATCACGCCCACCCCGAACAGCAGCTTGCCTCCGTACCTGGCAGCCAGGTAACCCCCGGGCACCTGTGGGGAGGTGTGCGGAGGCGGGGGGGGGGGAGATTTTTGGAGGCCCAACCCCCTTCTGGGATCCTGAGATGGGGTGGAGCGGCGAGGTGGAGTGGGGCGGGGGGTGGGGGAACAGATGGAGCGGGTGGAGCGGGTGGAGCGAGCGGAGCGCACCTGGGTGATGATGTAGCCGTAGAAGAAGGAGCTGAGGATCCACCCCTGGATTTTCGAATCCCAGTTGTAAACGGCGACCTGAGGGGGGCGGGGCGGGGTATGTGGTGGGGTCATGGGTCAAGGTCATCACATCCCGACTTGCAACTTTCTCCTTTAGAGTCTCCACACATCCCTCACCTCAACATTCAACGTCTACCAACATGCCGCTGACTCCTCACTCACCCCGTCAATCACTCCACTGGCTCCCAATCCCATCTGGAATTGTTTTTTACTGTTGTATCGCACTCAGTGTCTCCAAGACTCTCCATTGAATCGCCTCTGTGTACCTCTCCCCTCTCAGCTCACTCTCCACTTCAGCAAACAGTCGACCTCCGTTCGGTCATTGGTCGGTCATTTTGCTCTGCCGCCCTCACACTGTGGAACACCCTTCCACCCGTGCCAGGTTCAATACCTTTGGGGTTCCCCGCTGATCTAAGACATCCTTATCTCTGTAAAGGAAGTATGCCCGCCGTGTTTGTGTAGCATCTTGAGATAGCCACATTTGACTGGCGCTGTGAGGCTGTGCTGCTCTTCGTGAGACGCGGTCGGGCTCAGGGTTGGGCTCAGTGATGGGTGAGAGGAAGGGTCAGGGTCTGACTCCTGGTTGGGGCTCCTGGTCGGGCTCAGGGTGAGGCTCGTGGTAGTGGCGCTGAGTGCGCGTGTCCGTGACGCACAGAGGGCAGCTGTGCGGGGCGGCTGCCGTTGCTGGGCACGGGCAGCGGGCAGTAGGCGCTGCTGTTGCTGTCCCGGTGCGCAGCCCCGGTGCTGTTCACCATGGCCACCATGGCCACGCTGAGGTTCACGCGCAGCGCGTACACCAGCGCCAGCCCCACGAAGCCCAGCGCGGCGAGCACGTGACGAGACCGGCAGCTGCACCTGCGGCCTGGGGCCAGGAACACGCGCATAGCACCCATCCAGTACTCACTACTCACTCACCACTCACTCACCACTCACTCACCACTCAGCTCACCGCTCACTCACCACTCACCGCTCACTCACCACTCAGCATTCACTCACCACTCACTCACCACTCACTCACCACTCACCGCTCACTCACCACTCACCGCTCACTCACCACTCAGCACACCACTCACTCACCACTCACCCACCACTCACCCACCACTCACCTGCACTCATCGCACTCTCGGCACTTTCTCCTCTCACGCAGCAGCAACCCGACTCGGCCGACAGCAGCACGCGTAGCCCCCCCCCCCTCACACACAACCCCCCCCTCACCCCCCCCTCACACACCCCCCCCAACTCACACGTAACCCCACCCTCCTCACACACAGTTACCCCCCCCTCACACTCCCCCCCCTCACACGTACCCCCCCCCCTCACACACAACCCCCCCCCTCACGTAACCCTCCCCCCCCTCACGTAACCCCCCTCACACACAACCCCCCCTCACACACAACCCCCCCTCACCCCCCCCCCCCTCACGCGTAGCCCCCCCCCCTCACACACAACCCCCCCCTCACCCCCCCCTCACACACCCCCCCCAACTCACACGTAACCCCACCCTCCTCACACACAGTTATCCCCCCCCTCACACTCCCCCCCCTCACACGTACCCCCCCCCTCACACACAACCCCCCCCCCCTCACGTAACCCTCCCCCCCCTCACGTAACCCCCCTCACACACAACCCCCCCTCACCCCCCCCCCTCACGCGTAGCCCCCCCCCCCCTCACACACAACCCCCCCCTCACCCCCCCCTCACACACCCCCCCCAACTCACACGTAACCCCACCCTCCTCACACACAGTTATCCCCCCCCTCACACTCCCCCCCTCACACGTACCCCCCCCTCACACACAACCCCCCCCCTCACGTAACCCTCCCCCCCTCACGTAACCCCCCTCACACAGTTACCCCCCCCCCCCCCCACACGCGCATATGCAGGCACGGGACGCATCAATGGATAACGAGAAGCTCATTCTCTTCTCATTCTCTTCTCATTCTCTTCTCATTCTCTACTCGTTCTCTTCTCATTCTCTTCTCATTCTCTTCTCATTCTCTTCTCATTCTCTTCTCGCGCGTGATGGCAACATGGATGTGTTGGTGAGCTCGATGCCGATGTCGGGATCTCTGCGTGTACGTATATCTCAGTGTCGATGGGTCGCTTTGCATCGCTCGGAGTTCGTCTCGCTGTGTCTCCGTGTCTCTGTGTCTCTGTCTCTCTGTGTCTCTCTCTCTGTGTCTGTGTCTCTGTGTCTCTGTGTCTCTGTGTCTGTGTGTCTCTGTGTCTCTGTCTCTGTGTCTCTGTGTCTCCGTTGTGGTCCATCGTTTGGGTTGCGTGGCCACAATCGCGCCGCTGTTACTGATCTTAAATGTTCCATTTATGAACGAGAAATGAGCGGCGTGCCCGCGGAGGAATGTCAAAGCCAGGAGGTGCGATGTTTGGGGGGTCTCGATTGCGGAGTTCGTTCTGGACGTGCACGTTGTTGCACTCTACTCGCCAGCGCGAGAATTCTTCCGGATCGGGGTGAGACTCGACGGCGACAGCGGCGCGATCCGAGAAGGGGATTCGGTGGCGAGGTGACATTGTTTAGGTCTGGGTCCATGGTGGGTAGGTGGTTGTCGTGGGTTCATGGTGGGTAGGTGGTTGTCGTGGGTTCATGGTGGGTAGGTGGTTGTCGTGGGTTCATGGTGGGTAGGTGGTTGTCGCTGGTTCATGGTGGGTAGGTGGTTGTCGTGGGTCCATGGTGGGTAGGTGGTTATCGTGGGTTCATGGTGGGTAGGTGGTTGTCGTGGGTTCATGGTGGGTAGGTGGTTGTCGTGGGTTCATGGTGGGTAGGTGGTTGTCGCTGGTTCATGGTGGGTAGGTGGTTGTCGTGGGTTCATGGTGGGTAGGTGGTTGTCGTGGGTCCATGGTGGGTAGGTGGTTGTCGTGGGTCCATGGTGGGTAGGTGGTTGTCGCTGGTTCATGGTGGGTAGGTGGTTGTCGTGGGTTCATGGTGGGTAGGTGGTTGTCGTGGGTTCATGGTGGGTAGGTGGTTGTCGTGGGTTCATGGTGGGTAGGTGGTTGTCGTGGGTCCATGGTGGGTAGGTGGTTGTCGTGGGTCCATGGTGGGTAGGTGGTTGTCGTGGGTCCATGGTGGGTAGGTGGTTGTCGCTGGTTCATGGTGGGTAGGTGGTTGTCGTGGGTTCATGGTGGGTAGGTGGTTGTCGTGGGTTCATGGTGGGTAGGTGGTTGTCGTGGGTTCATGGTGGGTAGGTGGTTGTCGTGGGTTCATGGTGGGTAGGTGGTTGTCGTGGGTCCATGGTGGGTAGGTGGTTGTCGCTGGTTCATGGTGGGTAGGTGGTTGTCGTGGGTTCATGGTGGGTAGGTGGTTGTCGTGGGTTCATGGTGGGTAGGTGGTTGTCGTGGGTTCATGGTGGGTAGGTGGTTGTCGTGGGTCCATGGTGGGTAGGTGGTTGTCGTGGGTTCATGGTGGGTAGGTGGTTGTCGCTGGTTCATGGTGGGTAGGTGGTTGTCGCTGGTTCATGGTGGGTAGGTGGTTGTCGTGGGTTCATGGTGGGTAGGTGGTTGTCGTGGGTGCATGGTGGGTAGGTGGTGGTCGCGGGTTCATGGTGGGTAGGTTTGTCGTGGCTTCATGGTGGGTAGGTGGTTGTCGTGGGTTCATGGTGGGTAGGTGGTTGTCGTGGGTGCATGGTGGGTAGGTGTTTGTCGTGGGTTGATGGTGGGTAGGTGGTTGTCGCTGGTTCATGGTGGGTAGGTGGTTGTCGTGGGTCCATGGTGGGTAGGTGGTTGTCGTGGATTCATGGTGGGTAGGTGGTTGTCGCTGGTTCATGGTGGGTAGGTGGTTGTCGTGGGTTCATGGTGGGTAGGTGGTTGTCGTGGGTTCATGGTGGGTAGGTGGTTGTCGTGGGTCCATGGTGGGTAGGTGGTTGTCGTGGGTTCATGGTGGGTAGGTGGTTGTCGTGGGTTCATGGTGGGTAGGTGGTTGTCGTGGGTTCATGGTGGGTAGGTGGTTGTCGTGGGTTCATGGTGGGTAGGTGGTTGTCGTGGGTTCATGGTGGGTAGGTGGTTGTCGTGGGTTCATGGTGGGTAGGTGGTTGTCGTGGGTCCATGGTGGGTAGGTGGTTGTCGTGGGTTCATGGTGGGTAGGTGGTTGTCGTGGGTTCATGGTGGGTAGGTGGTTGTCGTGGGTTCATGGTGGGTAGGTGGTTGTCGTGGGTTCATGGTGGGTAGGTGGTTGTCGTGGGTCCATGGTGGGTAGGTGGTTGTCGTGGTCCATGGTGGGTAGGTGGTTGTCGTGGGTTCATGGTGGGTAGGTGGTTGTCGTGGGTTCCATGGTGGGTAGGTGGTTGTCGTGGGTCCATGGTGGGTAGGTGGTTGTCGTGGGTCCATGGTGGGTAGGTGGTTGTCGTGGGTTCATGGTGGGTAGGTGGTTGTCGTGGGTTCATGGTGGGTAGGTGGTTGTCGTGGGTTCATGGTGGGTAGGTGGTTGTCGTGGGTTCCATGGTGGGTAGGTGGTTGTCGTGGGTCCATGGTGGGGTAGGTGGTTGTCGTGGGTCCATGGTGGGTAGGTGGTTGTCGTGGGTCCATGGTGGGTAGGTGGTTGTCGCTGGTCATGGTGGGTAGGTGGTTGTCGTGGGTTCATGGTGGGTAGGTGGTTGTCGTGGGTTCCATGGTGGGTAGGTGGTTGTCGTGGGTTCATGGTGGGTAGGTGGTTGTCGTGGGTTCATGGTGGGTAGGTGGTTGTCGTGGGTTCATGGTGGGTAGGTGGTTGTCGTGGGTTCATGGTGGGTAGGTGGTTGTCGTGGGTCCATGGTGGGTAGGTGGTTGTCGTGGGTCCATGGTGGGTAGGTGGTTGGCGTGGGTTCATGGTGGGTAGGTGGTTGTCGCTGGTTCATGGTGGGTAGTGGGTAGGTGGTTGTCGCTGGTTCATGGTGGGCAGGTGGTTGTCGTGGGTCCATGGTGGGTAGGTGGTTGTCGTGGGTCCATGGTGGGTAGGTGGTTGTCGTGGGCCCATGGTGGGTAGGTGGTTGTCGCTGGTTCATGGTGGGTAGGTGGTTGTCGTGGGCCCATGGTGGGTAGGTGGTTGTCGTGGGCAACCACCTAGCCACCATGAGCAGCAGCAGCAGCGCGTGTGCCTGGTTTGTGTTTACACGGTGGAGCCGAGTTGACGATGCTTTGCATAAACACGGCGAGCGCATTCCCACCATGATCGGTTGTGCAGTTGTAGTAGGGCGAGGATTTATTTCGTAAGGACGTACACACATCATCATCATCATCCACAGTCGCCCGCGACGTCACACACCACTCAATCAACTCACTCGCACTTAACCCAACAGAGAGGTGGGGTTCATCGAAGACCGCAGCGGCCGTGATGGGGAGGGGTTGAGGGTGAGCAGTTGACAGTCGGGGATCTGAACGACCCCCATTGTGCTCTGAACACCCAGCCCTGGACACTGCGTCCCAGGAAACCCAGGGGCCGAGAGCGGAACGGAGTAGCCGTAGGCCCGACCTGACCTCAATGCTTATTAAAACCCTCACTCGAATCTGGGCTCATAACTGGCCCTGACCGTCGTCATCGTCAATCCGGATGAAGGTCTCCTAAAGTCGTCACCATCATTCACGGTCTCGTAATGCAACGATCCACCCAGCACCTGCACCCGATCCGATCTCACCGTCCCATCCCCGCCACGGCGGACGCTCTCTCCTGTCGCTAAGCAGTGACTCTGCGCTCATCAGCCATCGCCGCTTGCTCGCGACCTGCCCCAGCCTTGACCTTCGACGTCACGCGGAGAGGCCGTGGCCTTGACTCGACCGATGAGGCCGCGCACAGCCAGTGATCGCACGGAGGAGGACGGGGATGGAGGGACAGGCGCTGAAGGGAGTGAATGAATCACCTGTGCAGGTGAGGCAGAAGCGATGACACGCCAATGGTTCTGTAACCCGCGCGCGCGGAGTCGTTCAGCGAGGCAGAGTTGGCGCGCACAGACCCCCCTCACAGGCGCACGATCCACTTCGTGCTTTATCCGCCGTGCCGGGTATTTATTTAGGAATGAGCCGACGAGGAGAGGCTCCGAGTGGGTGTATCTAGAACTACTCGTCATTGATGACATCTGCGGCGAGGAATCCAAATCGGGTTAACGGGTTCGTTAGCTCAGTGTGTTAACCAGTGCAACTCACCCACTCGCACACACCGCCCACACGACAGTGGCAAGACTATTGGTGTTCGCACGGTACTCTCACACACACAACATCAAGGATACCCCGAACGCAGGGGCAACTACTGTTTGCGAGATCTATTCAGGCTCGTATGGCCCACAAGGGGGTGGTGTTGTCAGTACCACGCCCGGCTGCCTGTCTCCCCGCTGTTGAAGCTTACAAACCACATCATGTATTTATTTAAGGATGAGTCAATTTAGGGGAGGCGCAGCACCGTTCACATATAACTCGCGACTGATGTTAGCCGTGACCGGGAATCAAACTCAGGGAGCCGGGTTCGAAGCACAGCGTGCCATCCAATGTGCCACCGCTTCTCCACTCACACAAACTTACTCGCACACTACAAAGACAAACACACTCATACATACACCCACTCATACATACACACACTCATATCCAAAGACCCATTCATATCCGCACGCAGCACACTTATCACATGACTATCGCAGCATAATTATCAGCAAAACAATTGCGCCACGATGATGGTCGAAATGATCGCGCATAGCCAGAGCTCACCCGCCCACTCGTGTCTCCACGAGAGCTCTTTCTCCACGTGCCATGTGCCCGCCAAGTCCTCTCGGTCCAACGTCCCCGCTCGCTCCGCACGCCTCGTCCCAGACATCGCGGCGTCCCCGTGTGCCGTGCGCGCGGCTCTGAGCGGCGTCACGCGGCGATCGCGGAGCTAGAGTCGCGCGGGGTTAAGGGGACTCGGGTTCCATGGAGGCGGGAGTGGCGCATTTATGCGCGAGATGTGAGGCCGTGACCCTGACCTTGACTCTGACCTTGATCCATCGCGCTGGCAAACCCACTGCCGGGCGCGGCTCGACTGCACACGTCTCACGGAGTGCGTGCCACGGTCAGGGTTCGAGGTAATGATTGTGGCTATTGATGTGAATGTTTGGTAGGGTTAGGGGTAAGGCTTTTGATCAGGATTATGGTTATGATAGAGGAATGTGACAGCGTGATAGATTAGACCCATTAGGGTTAGTATAGGTAGGGGAAGGGTCAGGCCGAAGGCGAGGGTCCAAATTTGAGTTAGAGACACATTTAGGTTTATTGAAGCAGACACCTGTCAGGGTGCCGTTCAATTGTCATGGCTATGCCTGGCAGGGCCGTGGTTCGAGGCGTGTCTGACATGGCGTGGGTCAGTATTGGGGGCTGTGTCCCGTAGGGTCGAGAGTTAGGACTAGTGTCAATCCCCGACCTCTACTTGAGCCGTGTCCAACGCTGCTCCGTCGCAGACCCGTCCGTCCCGTCGGCCTCTTCGACGGAGGAGACTTCCGGAGAGGCTCCCTCCTCGAGACCCCCTTCCCGAGCCCAGCTCTGCTGCTTCCCCGATCCAAACACCAGGTAGAAGAGAGCCCCGAACATGTTGATGCCAGCCGAGATGAAGAACACCATATGCCACTCCTTCAGCGTATCCTGCACGGGCATGCAAGCATGCGGGCACGTTAAGATGAGTAATGTTCTTGCTAGATCGAGAGGAATTTGGGTTTTACGCGCAAGAGAATGTTGCCCAAGTGGCGAGCGATGCCTCGAGCAAATTGCACGGCAGGAGACTTGAACCGGCTGCAGTAGCTGGAGTCGAGGAGGCAACTTAACGAGCCGCTGCACACAAAGGGAGCACGTGGGATTGGGACATTGAGCAGAAATAGAGACTCAAGGTGTGTTTTCACCGTCCTGCATCAGTTTACGAAAGCGGAATACTCGGTAAATCGTTTGGTCACATCTTTCTGTCTAGACACTTGTAGGGACTTGTCGAAGCCCGTGTGGCACCTGCGCCCTTTGAGGGATCTTCAGCGCTCCGCGCGGCGTTACCGTGGCGGCTCGGGTTGTGGTTCTCACGTGTTCGGTCAGGTAGCCGGTGAGCGTGGGCGCCAGGAAGCCCGGCAGGTTGTTGAAGGTGTTGGAGATGCCCAGCAGCACGCCGGCGTACCTGAGCAGGCACGCGCCACAATCGCCGCCAAGAGTGAGGACCAACGCCGCTAACGTCACAATTTGTTTCGTGGGTTAAGCCGACTTAGTGGCCGAATCCAACAATTAAAATGAGCCACGGTATTAAGTGTTACATTAGCTTCTTGTCTAATGTGTGTACCTGTGTGTGCTCTACAGGCGTTACATAATTCCGTCCGCTGAGTGATGTAATCTTGTGGCTTGTGTGTTATTGAGTTGCTAGCACATAATAACCGAGCCCGCGTGGTAAATCATTGATCAGAAGCCGGCCTTGGGGCTCAGCAGTAGAGCGAGCAGCTCGCTATCAGAATGTTGCGAGTTCGAATCCTGGTTGGGGTTTAACTCAGCCCATCATCCCTTCCTCTGGCGTAAATAAAATGTATGTAACTTTGTGGAGAAGTCAATAGCAGTGGTTGTCCTACGAGACTCACCCCCGCCATCGGAATGTCGAGTTTCCACCACTGGCTCAGGGATGTAAACGGGCGACGAGTGCCAACTCAATGTCAATGTGTGCAGGAGACCGCCCTGAACTCATGAGAGGCTGGCAAGGCCCAAAGCCCACCCCATGTGCGTGGTTCCATCTCGCGTCTCTGAGTCGTCCTCTCTCTGCGAGTCGCAAGTCCAAGTATACAAGTTGAACTTCTTTTGCACCGTACGCAGCCAACCGTGCGTGGTCACCACTCTGCATTTGACGTGGCTGCCGTTGAGGCCGTGGCGGTGGAGGCCGTGGCGGTGGAGGCTGTGGCTATATCTCACTGGGGCGCGATGTCCAGCTGGTTGATGCCACAGCCCGCTGTGGTGAAGGCCCCGAAGGCCACGGACAAGGTGAGGAAGGACACGGCGAGGAGGTGGTTGCAGCCCACAAAGCCCGATGCCACGAGGCACAGGGAGGGGACCGCGAGGCCTGGAGGAGTCCGTGACACAACAACAACACAACAACAACAACGCTCAACACAAAGGACATGACTCATTATTGCGACAGGAAACGACTTTACATAACGCCGCGAGGATGGCGATGATTGATGATCGTGATTGATTGATGACAACTGATTGATGATTTAATTGCTGACGCTGATGGTAATTGGTTCATGATGTTTTGATGGTAATTTGTGAATGATGATGACGATGATAATTGATGGATGATGATATAAATATGTTGCTGCTGCTGCTGATATTTGGTGGATGATGATGGCGATTGTAATTAATTGTAATGATGATTGGTGACTGGTGGATGCTGATGGTTCGTAGTGAAGGGAGGGAGGAGGCTGGCACCGAGCGTGGTCGCCACTTTGCGGATGGCGGTGATGGAGAGGAGGCCGCGGATGCGGAGCGCGTCGGCGGCGAATCCCCCGGCGACAGTGCAGAGCCAGCCCGCCAGGTAGGGCAGCGCCGACAGGAGGCCGTTCTGCCGGCGTCAGGCGCGCCACGCGGACACGCCGAGGGTTAGACACGCGGGGATTCGTACAACACACCCTGCTGCCACACACCATAGACAAGTATCGTCTTGACAGGCTGTTCGGGCGAGCGCTGTTAGCGAGCACCTAGCAAGTCCGGCACGGCACACGAGGGGGTGGGTGGCCAACACCACGCCCGGCCGCCTTTGTCTCCTCAGTGGTGATGTTTATACATCGCACCGGGTACTCATTTGAGGCTGACTCGACCTACACACCACACACTCGCACACAAAGATCCACCTCATAGCTTTATCAGACTGTTGCGACAAGTGCCGTTAGCCAGCACCGATGAAGGCCGGTACGGCACACGAGCGAGTGGGTGGCCAGCATCACGCCCGGCCTCCTTTGTCTCCCTCGTGGCGATATTTACACATCGCACCAGGTACTCATTTGAGGCTGAGTCGACCTAGGTGAGGTCCAGGAGCGGTCCAGGTAATTGCAACTGATGTTTGCCATGAACAGAAATGCATCTTGGATTGCCGGGTTCGTGGCGCAGTGCACCAACCGCGTGCCCCACGACCCTGCCCCGTGCCCCACGACCGTGCCCCACGACCCTGCCCTGTGCCCCACGCCCCACGACCCTGCCCCACGACCCTGCCCCGTGCCCCACGACCCTGCCCCGTGCCCCACGACCCTGCCCTGTGCCCCGTGCCCCACGACCCTGCCCCGTGCCCCACGACCCTGCAACACGACCCTGGCCTCACGTCACCTGTTGCATGTCATAGTGCAGCACGGTGCTCATGTAGGTGGGCAGCGAGGTGAGCAGCACGTAGAAGCCCCAGCCTCCGCAAAACATGGCCACGTTGATGGCCCAGAGAGGCATGCAGGTCCACACGTGGCGCCACGGTATGGACGCGCCGTGATTCGCCTGCCACGGGGGCCCGGGGGTCGGTGAGGGGGGAGAGGGGCAACGTTTACTCACTCACCCGGTGAGCGCGCACTCACCACCCACCACCGCCGTAATCCAGCTCTACGTGGAGACAACAGCGAGGGTCGATGGATCACACTCGGGAGTTGAGAAACCCCCTTCCTGTGGGCGTCGAGGACGTGGCGTACCTTGGCTCGCCAGGAGAATGCACTCTAGCAAAAAAGTTGACTCATATCATCCGACCTATCTCTGTGGGATAGAGTGTTGCTCCCTCGCATACGTGGGGTTGCGCCGGGTGCTCCGGTTTCATCCTACGTGTGTAAACGATCATTAAGTGGCGACAAACATCGTGATTCATGCGCTCCTCCGTGTTTGCCGATGTGCGATATAGTTGCATAAATGACGCTGCTTATAGACACACTCAATATTGGAATGAAAAAAAAATACAATAGCATTATTGCACACCTCCATCACCACCACGCGGGAGTGAGGAGCGTCGCTCAGGTGAGTAACAATCATCCTGGTGATGCGACCACGCCGATGGAAGCAGGGACGGAGGTTCGGGTGCAGCACGAGACGACGATGGTGATGGTGGCGATCATGATGATGGTCAAGTTAATGAAGATAGTGATGATGATTATGATGGTATTGATAAATATGTTGATTATCCTGATGATGATATGCGAGATGACGGCGGTGATGATTATGATGATGTTCATGCTGATGGTGAATAAAACTATTTATATGAGAATGAGGATAATTTGATTTTGTTATTGATGATGATGAATATTATGATAGTGATAAGCAAGATAATGTTGATGATGACGAAATCAATATCAATGATTATTATCTTGATAATGCTGGTTCTGCTGCTGCTACTGATGATGATAATGATGGCGATGGTGACGATGGCGATCATCACGACCTGCCGCTCCGCCTGCAGCGACTTGAGGATGAACTCCCGCTCGGCGGCAGAGATGCGCGGGTGCCTCTCCGGGGAATCGAACGCGAAGAGAAACCAGACGATGGACCACAGCAGCCCGGTACCTCCTGCAGGGCAGACGACACCAGCAGGGGCCGAGCCTCGGGCCACACTCCAGGCCAAACCTCACTCGAGATCAAACCTCGCTCCAGGTCAAACCTCACTCCAGGTCAAACCTCGCTCCAGGTCAAACCTCGCTCCAGGCCAAACCTTGCTCCAGGCGAAACCTCACTCGAGGCCAAACCTCGCTCCAGGTCAAACCTCACTCGAGGCGAAACCTCGCTCCAGGTCAACTTTCAGGTGCAACCCTGGTCAATCGACCGATGGAAGAGGGCCTCCCCATGCCATACGGCTCATGGTTGGTGTTGGCGCAGAGCATGGAAGTACGGTACAGTAAAACAATTGTTCTGCTCTCTGCTGTTCAGCATACTTCCCCGCAGTTTGTATTTAACAACGCCTGCCATGTGGGTTATTCGCCCATTCAAGTACGTTGCCAGGCTCAAGTCTGCTTAGCTTCTCAGATCGGATGAGATCGGTTGCGTTCTGGGTGAGGTTTGAACGTTAGAAAAGGGTCAAGTCTCACTTGAGCTCAAATCTAATCTCAGGTGAAATCTGTCCGTGGGAGGCACCACGATGCCAAGTGCCCCCGTGCCCCCGTGCCCTGCGACTCCTCGTACCGAAGATGTAGAAGATCCAAGGCCACCCGAGTTTGTCTGCGATGATCCCTGACAGCGGCATGGCCACCACGGTGCCGAAGTGTCCACCTGGACGTGGCACACGAGGGGAGTGGCGAGGAGCAGCTGTGAGGGTGGAGCGCGGTAGTGGTGGTGCTGATGGCGGTGGTGCTGGTGCTGATGGTGGTGGTGGCGGCGATGCAGATGGTGGTGGTGGAGGCGGCTGTGTGTTCTTACCGGAGTAACAGATGCTCATGAGGGTGCTCCTCTCATACGGAGGCGCCCAGAGCGCCCACATGGCGTGCATGGTGGGGTAGGTGACGCCCTGCGGACGACACGAGGTCCCCGCAGTTCTACCAACAACTCAATCCGATAGCTCAACTCTACATCTCAACCCCACAGTTCGACCCTACATCCATAATCATCTCAACCACCATCTCAGCCACCTCCATCTCAACTACCATTTCACCGACCACCACCGTCGCAAGAGTCCTCACTTCTCCAAGCCCTTCCAGGACGCGCACGACCAGGAGCCACGGGACCCCGAAGTGTGCGGCAATCGGCGTGAGCAGCGTAAGCACCGTGGTGCAGGTGACGCCGACCCCGAACAGCAGCTTGCCCCCGTACCTGCCTGCCAGGTAACCCCCAGGAACCTGTGGGGAGGAGTGGGAAGGGGCGAGCGGAGTTAAGTGGGGTGGAAAAGGCAAGGCCTTCGAAAGGTTATTGGAGGCCCGAATCAATATGCCAGATGATGCCCGCACAGTATGTTGAAGCACGCACCCGATTTGAGGCACGGGGCAAACATACAAAACAGACGCTGCTGGAGAGATGGGGTTTAGCGGTGAGGTGGAGTGCAGCGGTGAGGTGGGGTGGAGGTGGACCAAATGGAGCAGGTGGAGTGGCAGGAGCGAGCGGAGCGCACCTGGGTGATGATGTAGCCGTAGAAGAAGGAGCTGAGGATCCACCCCTGGATTCGCGAATCCCAGTTGTAAACGTTGACCTGGGCGGGGAAAGGGGGAGTCAGATGCAGGAATGGTTGGGCAGAGGTGAAGGTCAGAGATAATGTGGTGTATATGAGGTGTAGTCAAGCTCAGGGTGGGATGCGTAAAGTGAGGGTCGGGCTCAGGGTTAGGCTCGTGGCGCTGAGTGCAGTGCGCGTGTCTGTGACGCACAGAGGGCGGCTGTGCGGGGCGGCTGCCGTTGCTGGGCACGGGCAGTGGGCAGTAGGCGCTGTTGTTGTCCCGGTGCGCAGCCCCGGTGCTGTTCACCATGGCCACCATGGCCACGCTGAGGTTCACGCGCAGCGCGTACACCAGGGCCAGCCCCACGAAGCCCAGCGCGGCGAGCACGTGACGAGACCGGCAGCTGAACCTGCGGCCTGGGGCCAGGAACACGCGCATAGCACGCATCCAACCCATAGCACCCCGCATCCTACACATAGCACCCCGCACCCAGCACTCACCACTCACTCAGCATTCACCTTGGACTCGTCACACCCATCGCACTCTCGCCACACACCCAGCACTCTACAACTCATCCCGCACCCGGCAACCAGTCCGCAGTTGTCGCCCACAGACAGTCCGCATTCAGCAGCAGACAGCGCTATGCAGTGTGCACTCGTGCGGCGTCCGGAGCGACCACGTGTGTCTCGAGCCCGCGCGGACACAGTGGACGTGTTCATCCGAGAGAGAGGGGGGAGGGAGGCGGCCGAGAGGGACGTCTTGAGACTGGACTTGAACAGGGCCAGGGACGTCTTGGGGGGGAGTTCCAAAGTCAGGGGGAAGCAGAGGAGAATCACCGATCTTCCACCCAGCACTCGCCGCTCACCCAGCACTCACCGCTCACCCAGCACTCACCACTGCACACGCAGCTCACACACTGAGCACACACACTGAGCACACACACGCAGCGCACACACGCAGCGCACACACGGAGTGTCCTGGCGGGGGATTGCCTGGCACGACGGGTTTTCACCCGAAGGGTCCCTAGGAGGAGAGTCCCCCGCGATTTCCCGGTGCCAGGAGACTGGCCGATCCTCGCAGGACAGGTCACACTGCGGTGCCACTGAGTTGGATTAAAGTTGTCTGGGTGCAAAAAGGTTCACTGGGCCAGCCGCAATGAGTCATTCACGACATCGGGAGGGGCTGAGGGTGGAATGTTAGGCATGAAGAGCAGACCCTGAGGTTAGAATGAGTGAGCACGGGGGAGCAATGGGGACGCGGAGCAGCAGTACTCCGCGTGGCACGAGGTCCAAGTGCGCGATACTGAGAGGCAGGCGCACAATTGGTCGCGCGGCACGACGTCACCCCGGGCCTTTTGAGTTAGGGGAGTAAAAAGTGGAGTCCGGGACCATTCAGGTCTCTTGTCTTCAACCTCTTGGCCGCCAAGACCGACTCCCCGCCGTCTTGCCTTCTCGAGCCGCTCGCAGCATCCGTGTGATGCCAGCGAGTGCTGCTACGATGGAGTGATAGATAAAGTTTTCTCTCGTTCTCCTCCCTCCGAATCTCACAGCGGTCGTGCGACGCCGTGAGTCCAGCTGCGAGGTACGTGAAAGAGCGTCTGAGTATCGGGGGATTTGGGGAACAGTAGGCGAGGCTCTTCTCGCCAAATATTCCCTCCGGGCAGTGCGTGCGGGATTTGCACCACGAATAAAAGTTGGCACAGGGCATCGGTGTGGTGTTAGCACAGAACATCGGTGTGGTGTCTGTGAGTCCTGTGCGGAGCAGCTGCGTGGGGGAATGCGCGGCGAGGGTGAACGCGGGGCCGCAGCGTGCGCGCTTTCAGAGACGATCGCCCGCAGGTGCGAGCGCCTTCGTACCCCCCCCCCCCCCAGGTTAGCTGTGGTGTGCGCGGGTGAGTGGTTTAACTCCGTGTGGCGCGGGGGGCCCGATCACTCGGTCGGTGGGGGCCCGACGGCGGGACCTGACCGACGAGGTGGAGGAGGGAGCGGAACGGGTGGACGTCGCGCCCGACCTGCCTCGCGAGGGCGGTGGGGTGGACGTCGACCCCCACAAAAGCAACATCGCCATGACGTGGATCAGACGTGGATCAGACACGGATCAAAGCATGCACACGAAGAATGCAAAGCTGCGTGGAGGAGCGCAAAGCAGCGTGGGGAAGTCCACGCTTGGAATGACACCGAGTCAGTCGGGAGGAGGAGGCACCCGCGGGACAGGATTTCGAGGGAGGCTGCAGCGAGGAGACCTCAAAGCGCAGACACCAAAGTGACGACCACGAGCTGCGCGTGCCCGTCTACAAGTGTCCACAACAACTGGCACTGCCGCATCTGGCCGGTACGTGGCGGTACAGTACCAGGCTCCACCGATCCCAGTTGTCAGCAGTTGCGGTTGGCAACGCGCGATCAACTCACCGCACCAGGGCAACATCGGGGTGACGCCTCCCACAGTTTTACGGCGTCCAACCATCGACTCACCTTCCCACTAACTCACCCACTCAACATAATCACTCACTCACTCAATAAATCACGCATCCACCCACCTAACCACTCGTATACGCACCCACCAATCCACTCACTCAATAACTCACCCACCCACCAACCCACTCACTCACCCACTCTATAACTCACTCATCTACCCACCCATTCACCCAGTCACTCACCCACCCACTCACTCACCCACCCAATCACTCACCCACTCACTCACCCACCCACTCACTCATCCACCCAATCACTCACCCACTCACTCACCCACCCAATCACTCACTCACCCACTCACTCACCCAATCACTCACCCACTCACTCACCCACCCAATCACTCACCCACTCACTCATCCACCCAATCACTCATCCACTCACTCACCCACTCACCCACCCAATCACCCACCCACTCACCCACTCACTCACTCACCTACCCACTCACTCACCCACCCACCCACTCACTCACCCACTAAATCATCAACCCACTCGCACACTTCTCGGGCGTCTGACCCATCCATTTAGGTGGAACACGCAGCCGCCCACTGTCCGAGATGTCACTGTCATACAGTTTTGCAGGAGACAAGACGGAAACGATCTATAAAGTTTAAAAGGCATGACCACAGCTATAAACCCCCCATATAATTGGTATTGCCCAAACATCCAATGCAAGACCTTCCTGAAACATACCCTTTGGGCTCATTGTAGCTTTCCTGGGTAAATAAGTAGCTTTTTTTATTATAATGATGCAATTATCAAATGTACATGATTATTATCATCAACATTAGCAACATCATACCCTCACCCTTGAGACTCAAAAACTCCCCCACGCTCATCGCGGAGCGGGTATCTTGACATCGCATCGCGGTGGCAAACAGCGGAAACCCCGTCACGAGTCTCCGTGTCTCAGTTCGTGTTCCGCGGTTTCACTTCTCATTTCCGCGGCGAACTCGCTGCTCCATCACCGCAGCTCCACCAAGACCCCACGCTGTGATGCTCAAACCCCCTGGCTCGAAGAGACGCAGGGGAGAGACGCAGGGGTCACGGGGAACTCGGCGTCAGCGAGCGGGTGCCTGAAGGCGCCGATGCTGCTGGTGCCGAGTCCCGTGGGAGATCACGGGTTCCGTGAGAGACCAGGGGTCCCGTGGGAGATCACGCGCTTCGGGGTGGCGCTCGAGTCCGCGACCGTAAACTGCGATTACGAGGCCGTAAACACAGCGAGAAGAGCCGCGCTCAGCGATCGCCACAGCCTCTCACGGGACGCTGTCAACACACTGACCCTCCGCGCCCCCTCCCTCTACTGTCCAAGTCTGCGCTCTCGCTTTGCTTCCCTCTCTCCTCTATCACTCACAGTCCAAACCTCTCTTTCCCTACCACATCCCCCCTCTGCAATTCTGCCCCCTCGTCCCCCCCTTTCCTAGAACGTCCTCTCGCCAAACTCTCGCCAAACTCTCCCCCTGCTGATGTGCGCGCCGTCTCCCACAGACGTCGTGCGGTGAGGGGGGGGGCAGCACGAGCAGCCGTGCCCCCAGCCCTGGAGCTGCCCCCAGCCCTGCAAATAGAAATAATCCTGCCCCGGTGGATGACAAGGACAGAGGTCAAACAGGGGATGACTGAGATGATGATGATTGGATCATGATGACGATCGGATGATAGCAATGATAATTGGATGATGAAGCGAATGAGTGACGCGACGGGGATGACCTCACCGTTTGTTATGGGCTCAATGACCGGAATATCATCTCGGCACCCAGAGTCTCCCGGGTCCTCCTCGTCTCCCGACTCCTCCCGGCCCCCCGTCTCCGTCGCTCGCTCCCCGCGCCTCCTCCCGGACATCGCGCGGCGTCTCCTCGTGCGCCGCTCGCGACTCTGAGCGACGACTGCGGCGAGCGGCACCGTGACCCTTCCTCCCCGGCCCCCGCCTGACCTCCCCCCGCCCCCGCATCCCTCCAGGTGGTCACGCCCGGGCTTGAACTCGACTGCATTCACCTGTAGCCGACTGCGCTGGTGCCTCTCTCACCTACAGTGAGCACCTGTGATTAGCACGGTTGGCTGCGCTCGGTGCGAAACAAGTCCAACGCACGTATCGACATCCAGGTCCACTGGACACGCCACTCACGTGCACCTGCCCGCACTCGGCTGCCGTACATTTTCAAATCTAGAATTAATGCCGCACATGTATTCACCGCTGCTCAATCAGTCGGATGACGTTTGGGGCGGTGCCGCAGTTTGATCAGAAGTGAAGACTCTCACGGACCCCTACCGCCGCTGGGTGTGCAAGATGATGTGTTGGGGAAGTGTGGATGGTCATTATGATAATGATAATAATACATCAGCCAAGGGACTGTTTCGCCACCAACAGATACAATGATTATCTATCCTCAGTTGGCTGAGCCCAGGCCACCGTGGGTTTTAATGTGGGAGAGACGTGGTAAACCCACACGCGCTCTGTCCGCACAGCGGGTTGTGTTGTGAGCGGGCGGATTGAGTATTTTCTGTTCTTGCGCATGGCAGTACATGATGCTCGGGAGGCAAATGCCAATGTCGAGGTGAGCTCGCAACGAGAGGGTTGAGCAGAGAGAGTTCGTGTGGTCTTCCGGTGATGAAATTTGGCAAAATTGCCAACATGAGCGACGCGGCGTGGCCAGGCGTTCATCCAGCAGTGGATTGGCCGTCGCCGTGGCGTTCCAGCTTCCTCGCCCTTCTGCAACATCGCTCGAGTCGACATCATCCGTGACTTGGGGCCGTCGCCTGCGAGCGGGACTCTCTTCACGACAGCGGCCCGAGTCCACGAGAGGGCAGCCCCGGCTCACTCCGCTCGCGCTGTCCGAAACCATACAGCACGCGACGTTTCGGGCAATGGCCCATCTTCATCGCACATAAGACCCTGGGAGACCCTGAGATTCACATAAGACCCATAGACGAGACGTAGCATCGCACCCATAGCCACACGTTTCAGTTTCATTTGGAGAATTCACCCAGGGAGGGCTTCTCACGCTAAAGCTTCCGTGACTGCAGGAATTCACATTCTCGGGTCTTTCGGTGAAGTGACGTAGATAGGTTCGAAGAAAAATGACAAAAAACGACTAAAAACCACGTTGTTATTTTTGTTGTTATCTTTGAACCTATCTCCGTGACTTTACCGAAAGACCCGAGAATCCGCGTATCGCGCTCGCAATGCCCACGGGAGGCCACAGTGCTAGTGCTGCCGCTAGGCGGCGATGCAGCAGCAGCTGCTGTAGCTGCTACTGTAGTAGCTGCTGCTGTAGCTGCTGCTGCAGCTGCTACTGTAGTAGCTGCTGCAGTAGCTGCTGCTGCAGCTGCTACTGTAGTAGCTGCTGCAGTAGCTGCTACTGTAGTAGCTGCTGCTGTAGCTGCTGCTGCAGCTGCTACTGTAGTAGCTGCTGCAGTAGCTGCTACTGTAGTAGCTGCTGCTGTAGCTGCTGCTGTAGCTGCTACTGTAGTAGCTGCTGTAGCTGCTACTGTAGCAGCTGCTGCTGTAGCTGCTGCTGCAGCTGCTACTGCAGCAGCTGCTGCTGCTACTGTAGTAGCTGCTGCTGTAGCTGCTGTTGTAGCTGCTGCTGCCGCTAGGCGGCGATGTTGCTACATTCTCAACACACGGGGGGGGGGGGGGGGGGGTGATGCTTGCCCCACACCAGTTGCATTGGGCGGAAACCGGAGGAACCCCATTGTGGTGCAGCAGGGGAGAGAACACAAACACACACAGAGAGAGCCCGCGTCTCGGCGTATCCCCGTGTCTCAGTAGCTCTCAGCGCCCCCCGTGTCTGTCTCCCCGTGTCTGTCTCTTCGTGTCTGTCTCCCCGTGTCTCAGTGTCCCCCGTGTCTGTCTCCCCGTGTTTGTGTCTCCGTGAGTTCCGCTTCAAGCCGCAGGCTTCGCGCTCGGCCCGGATCTGATACGGGACCCCCGACCCCGTCTCCTCCCTCTGACCCCCACGAACCCCTCCCTTCGTAGCCGCCCGCGCTGCCTCCGTGTGCTCGGCATCGCTCAGGGCAGCAGCAGCAGCAGAGAGAGGGGGGGCTGAGGGTCGCTGTCGCTGTGCCCCCTGCTCCTGGGACCCCTGTCCCCAGAACCCTGCCTGCTCCTGGGACCCCTGGGACCGTTGTTCTCGACTTGCCGGGACCCCTCCTGGTACCTCCTGGGACCTCTCCTGGGACCCCTGCACCCCCCCGATTGGCGATGGGACCCCAGGGCCGGGTGACGGGGATCACTGTGCGAGACGTGAGGTTCCCCACGTCCCTGGAGCAGCACGGCTCTGACGCCATGGTACGTGAGAGACACGTGACACCACAAACCACAAACCCCGCGTCTTGGTGACACCACGACCCCCCCCCCCCCACTTGGTGACACCACAACCCCCCCCCCCCACTTGGTGACATCACGACCCCCCCCCCCACTTGGTGACATCACGACCCCCCCCCCCCACTTGGTGACACCACGACCCCCCCCCCCCCACTTGGTGACACCACAACCCCCCCCCCCACTTGGTGACATCACGACCTCCCCCCCCCACTTGGTGACATCACGACCCCCCCCCCCCACTTGGTGACACCACGACCCCCCCCCCCCCACTTGGTGACACCACGACCCCCCCCCCCCCCCCACTTGGTGACACCACGACCCCCCCCCCCACTTGGTGACATCACGACCCCCCCCCCCACTTGGTGACACCACGACCCCCCCCCCCCCCCACTTGGTGACATCACGACCCCCCCCCCCACTTGGTGACATCACGACCCCCCCCCCCCCCACTTGGTGACACCACGACCCCCCCCCCCCCACTTGGTGACACCACGACCCCCCCCCCCCCACTTGGTGACACCACGACCCCCCCCCCCCACTTGGTGACACCACGACCCCCCCCCCCCCCCACTTGGTGACACCACGACCCCCCCCCCCCCCACTTGGTGACACCACGACCCCCGCGTGCGTTCTAGCGGCACGAGTCGGGTGCTCGAGGGCGCCGCTGTCTGCAGGGCCACGCAGCCGCCGCTCGCCGCCGTCGTCGTTGTTGTTGCGAGCTCAAGAAAGTCGAGACCTCGTTTTCGCGCGATTCTTGTATTTGCATTGCATCACGCCAAGGTGCGTGACAATGTGGGTGTAAGTCATGTTTAGGTGACGGTAAGGGAACTTCCCCCATCGTTGGTTTAGATGGAGTGAGTGTGAATTCAGTGTGCAGTAGATAGAGTCTGTTAACTGTGTGTGTGTGCAGCTGAGAGCAGTGCAGAAAATACTTCATATGTATTATATTACACGCTGCCGCTCCTGCTGCTACTGCTGCTGTGTTGGCAGTGGCACACAGATGCAATACAATCATAACATTGTGGTCTTAAAAGAAAACAATTGGCACCGTTTGGGACAATAGCCCTTCTGCATTGCATGCGACGATATGTTTCCACACCATGCTGCTCGTCTTCACCAACCGGCACTAACCAGCATGGTGAAGTATGGTCAAATAACCCACACGACCTATCACGGCGTGGAGAAGCCCTCATCCAGCAGTGGTTTCACGAATGGCATGTACACGTAGCAGAATATGTGTGCAGCGTGGGCATTGGTTTGTATACACCTGGATTGTGGATAACGGTGGATGCTTGTTTGCGTGTGTGCTTTTGCAAGGCGTTTCACTCGGAGACCTGGGTGGGAGCAGTGGCACAGTGATCGCGCACCATACCATCAACCAAGAATATGATTACCATCAACCAAGAATATGAATACCATCAACCTTGTCGCCCGAGTTGGATTCCCGGCAATGGCTGTAGCGTTCTTAGCATCGCTCCTGGGACGCCCTTTTCTCAGCGAGTAACGCCACAGGCCCGGCCTGGGATGGGCCTTCTTCATCTAAGTAGTCGGCTGTTCATTATGATTAGCATCGTTACGTTAACTTCATTGAGATTTCGGAGACATGATCTCTCCAGATTTTGGCTCGAGGTGGTGGATGTTATCATGCGATCAAATATGGTGGCGCCCTTGCGCAAATGCACATGAAAAGTTCAGTGACACATTGATGTTTTCTGCTGAGGATGTAAAGACAAGTAAAAGGTTTTGCAGTGCGAAGTTACAGTGTGGTGATAACTGCGCGTAATGTTCACAAACATTGCTGCAATGAGTATTTGAGATGTGTGGCCAGTTTATACATACGTGCTTGTAAGTGTATTTGCGTGTTGTATGTGGGGACTGGTATGTTAGTGACAATTATCTGACTCGGCCTTTAATAAATACATCAGCACTATGGAGACAAACGCGGTGATGCTAGCCACACCACCCTCTCGTGCGCCGTGACGGCCTCATAGGTGCATGCTGGATGCACTCATAAGTGCATGCTGGATGCACTCATAAGTGCATGCTGGATGCACTCATAGGTGCATGCTGGATGCACTCATAGGTGCATGCTGGATGCACTGCACTGCTCTGAATCGGCTACACGGAGGAGCTTTGTCTCTGTGTGTGCAGCACCGTGACCCCGACTATTCGGCTGCTTACGTGGAGGTCCGCACGGACGCATGCGGAGGCCTCTCCGGGTTTGGCCTCACCTTCACCCTGGGCAGGGGCAACGAGATCGGTACGGGAATAGGGTGGGGGGGGGGGGCACGCCACCAACACCAAACCTAGGGGGGCCACACTGGGCCCAGACACAGGCACACCTGAGGCTTGCTTGACATGCACATGGTTTACATGCAGAACTGCTTTTTGTGTTTAGTTTGTTGTCCTTCCCCCGCACTTCCGATAAACACGGTTGGCTACGTACGGCGTGAAAGAAGTTCAACATACATAAGTGTATTTGCGTGCCTCTGTGGGGGCCTGTATGTTAGGGGTTAGCACACTGCCGTACGAGCCCAGTGACCCGGGCTCTATTTCCGCTCATGGTCACCAACGCCGGTGGTGATTATCCGAACCGGTCCTGGGCCTCCCCTAGGTTAACTCGGCCTCAAATGAGTACCTAGAGCGATTGTGTAAACATTGCCACGTGGGAGACAAAAGAAGTCGGCTGGGCAGCTTGCCACCCACCCCTTGTGTGCCATGCCGGCCTTCATAGGTCCTCACTAACAGCACTTTCCCAAACAATTCATGAAGGCTGTACGGGTGATCTTTGTCTTTGTATGCGTGCATGGCAGTCGTGTGCGCCGTGCATGCCATATCAGACCTCGTCGTGGGCGAGCAACTTGAGCGAATCTTCGAAGACTTTGGCTCCTTCTACCATCGCCTCGCCAACGACGGGCAGCTGCGCTGGGTGAGCAGGGAGGGAGGTGAGGGAGCTGAGGGGACACGGGAAAGGTGAGGGGGAGGGGGGGCTTGAGGGGGTCTGTTGGGGTGAGATTACACGGGACCAAGAGAAGAGGAGAGATCAAAGTATACATTTTCTGATACTTGCCGATAACGTGAAATTAATTCCAGAATGTGACTGAAGAACTTATCGAAGAAGGATACAGCCGGAAAATGGGAGAACGTGTATATCTAGGGCAATCGATGAAGGTGTCTGTCCGTGCGTGTGTCGTGTATATGTGTGCATCTGTGTGTGCACGTATCTCTGTTCGACTGTGTGTACGTGTGTGTACGTGTGTGTACAAATGGGCGCGATCAGGTGGGCCCGGAGAAAGGCGTCATCCACCTGGCGATGGCGGCCGTGCTCAACGCGCTCTGGGACCTGTGGGCCCGGCTCGAGGGCAAGGTAGGACCGGGGGCGGCCACGGGGCCACAGCGAGATGGGTGTGGGTGGTGCACGTGTGCTGGAGGAGGTGGTGGGGTGAGTGATGCTCTTGGGGTGTGTGGTACAGGTGGGATGAGCGGCATAGGTGAGTTGAGTGACACAGGTGGGGTGAGTGGTACAGGTGGGGAATGTTGCACAGGTTTTGCTCGATGGGTGAGTGGTAGAGGTAGCACAGGTGATGCATGCTGGTGATTCCGGGTTGCACCCCATCATGCGCCGAACCGGCTTCAACAGTCTGTGTAGGCTGTACGGGGGGGGGGGGGGGGGATCTTTGTCTGTGTGTGTTTGGGTCATGTAGCCCACATGCCCAACCACCGCATGCTCAAGCAGCTTCTATTCGGCTGGATAGATCGGGCTGAATGGGCGCGGCACGGGCTAGAGAATAGATGGACTGATGTGGTACAGAAGGATGTGCAGCTAATCTGATGTTCTAATGACTGGTGCCAGCAGTGTAAGATAGACCTCTGTGGAGGAGGTTTATAAAGGAGGCTGCTGGGGAGTTGGAGGCAGTTGCCTTCCAGCAACAATGGAGGTTAGAGGAACGATGCTCACAACAACGAGCGGAGTACAGTTGGTGCATCTGCCAGTCATCTCAGTCGGTCAACCCATGGCACCTGGGTCTGTTCCATGACCTCCTGCCAGCGGGTCTTTGACACTTCATGTGGCCTCACAGTTCACCTAGCATGGCACAAAGCGTCATGGTGACTTCAGAGTGAACGGCGGTTGTTGTTGTTGAATGACAAGTCACGCGCTCCATCCCCCATAGCCTCTCTTGGGGGGGGTATAATCCGCTCTTGGGCAATCGTGCGTTAATGTTTGACGGTGTTACAATGGCCAGCTGCTGATGGGTGAGTGCTTTAGCTCCCCAAGAGGGACCTGGGGGAGTTGGAGCTGTGGTGTCGCGCCTGGCTGACTGCCTCTGTCCCCTCCCCCCTCTTGCAGCCGCTGTGGAAGCTGCTGAGTGACATGGTAAGTGGGGGGCCCTGCCCCCTCCCACCACAGCCAAAATAAAATAATGTCAAAAATCTGTTCTGGGAAAGCAGTGATGCTTTAGTGCATTGTTAGAAAGACAGTTTTATGATCGCGATACACGCATCAAATCCCGTACGTGACTTTCAAGAACCGGCGATGTTCGCAAATGATATGTTAAATTTCGATTTAAAGCTTTCGTGACTGCAGGGATTCATCTTCTTGGTTCTTTCGGTAAAGTCACGTAGAAGGGAAGTAATAAAATAATAAAAATAAAACATAATAAAATCAAATAATTCTCACGACGTTTCGGCTACAACGCAAGCAGCCGTCTTCAGGTGAAGAATGAGACACTGCCAAGCTAGGAGCTTATGTATAAGCTGAGTTGGAGGTGGAAGAAGAAGAGAGCCTTAACAAAAGAATGTGCATATCAAGAGGAATTTAGCATATTCATGGGAAAATGCGTAGAAGGTACTTAAAATTAACATGTTAAACGTATGCTAATTGTATGGATGAGGCTAAACAAACAGGAAATTGGGGGTCGGCACAAAAGAGGTTGTGATAAAATCAAACAAAAATGAATTGGACGGCAGCCCCCAGCTGGGAGGGTTAATTGAGTGGCGGGGCGGTGGTGGGGGTGATCGAGTGGCAGGGGGTTCGTCTCTCTCTGCATCCGGCACACCACCTCCAGTACACCTCTGGCTGTGGCTGCGAATCATGTGCCTTCGACTACAAACATTTAGAATATTCAGTGAAAGATTTATCCTTGTTTTTCCCCTGCCCCCCCCCATCACCTTCCGTGCCCCCCAGGAGCCCGAACAGCTGGTGTCCTGCATCGACTTTAGCTACATCACGGACGCGCTGACACGCGCCGAGGCGCTAGGTGACGCGCCCCGCTTAAAAGCTTTAATGCGTTAGCTCTGTCAGCCTGTCCATCCGTCCATACCAGATGGTGGATAACTTTCATGAAGATGATCCAACACGAACACAACTTTAGTATAACATCGTGATGCTATTAGTCAGTGGGATTTCCCAAAACGTGGAGACAAAGTCCAGCGCTAAATGGACCATCTCGGCTCATAGGGTTCGTCATTGGCATGTCCGAGAACTGAGCTCGCGCCAGTGAGATGCTGAGGTTTGTATCTGGGATCCAGCCATTCTTGACTGAGCTGGGTTGTCAAGTTGATTGAATTGATGCTCTCAAACCAATCGCCAATGACAGCACAAGAAACCATCGTAACACATTTGTTTTTTTTTATTAATTTGGGGATAAATTCCACCTCTGAGAATGAAAAATATCGGAGTGTCATGCGATGGATGCTATTGTCTGCAGCAGTGTGGGTGGGGAAATGTTACCTCCAAGTATTTCAGAAGTAGTTCTGTGGTAGGAACGTCTGTGAACCTTTCCCTTACACGGGGTGGTGTACTGCTGTGTGAGGGCTCCACATGGGTTCCTAGTCTGTTTTCGTTAATAACACAATTGGCGTAAAATTGGAGAAAATGTTTGCAATTGTGACATATTCCTAGCACGGGCTGTTCACTAACACTTGGTGGTGCAAGCTAATCCCAAATTAATATGCATTCTTACAGTGTCATCAGCAGCAAGAGTAGAATCTTATTTGGATGAAAATAAATCTCTCTCCTTTCTGAAACAAGCTCTCTGGTGTTTTACAGAAATCCTGCGCAAGGGAAGTGTCGGCAGGGAGGCGCGGGGTGAGTGTGCAAGGCCCCCTCCCTTCCCCTCACACCCCCCCCCCCTTTATATTCTCATTGGGAGTTTCACACCCCCCACGGACACCTTTCTACAGCTTCATCTCTTTAGTAAACTCAGGAAGCCAGAAGTTCTTGTCCCGCACGTGTCCTGTTTGGACGTTTGTCCGATTCCCTACGGGAGTTTGTGGTGGATTTGAGAGGGATAACTGTAGAGTCTGGAGAAACCCGACTCTGTGGAGGAGAGAACACTTGATCACCGTACACGCCGGTGCGACGCCTACTTGCTGTACTGCGAGTATCCATCATGAATGTGTTGGAGTGGTGAGCAGGCATCCCATGAATGCGGTAAATGCACACCCTCGTGTGTGTTTTTTGCGTTATCGCTGGGTAATGCTAAGTGTGCGTTAACGTGTGTTTGCTCGCCGGACTTATTTTAAACTCGTATTCTCCGCTCGGTGGTAAAAAGAAAGGTTCCTCACACCTGATATAGCCCACGGGGCCCTCACTGTCCCGATTCAGCTGCTCCGGCAGAGCTCAAGTTGATTTTGTTGAACCTGGTGGGAACTGGAGACCAGGATAGAGTCTCATTAGCATGAGTGACCTGGAGCGGTGAGGGGTGAGCATAGATGCGGGAACACAGCAATACAATCGTGGATTTTGTTGGGCTGCCCTCTTTGCTGCCCACCATGCAGCCCCCGTGGGGCACTAACGGGGGGTGCCCTGCGTCCGTGTGGAGGATGGGAATCTGGTTCTGGCTCCGACTCCATCCCATGCGCCTGCTGAGACGCCTGTTGCGTGCCATTTTAATTGAAAGCCGTAGGGGAAAGGTCGCAACCCAGCGCAAAATTAATCTCCGTCCGCAAGACCGAGCGACTTGCGGTGGTGAGCGGTCTGCACTGTACTTGGTGTAAATTGCACTCAGGTGGGCGGATGGAGAATAATTAATTATGAAGCCACTGGAACAATTTGCATTTTAATCTAAATTGAAAACTCTATCTTTAGAACCGCTTTTTGTGTTTACTTTGTTATCCTCCCGCACTTCCTATTAGCACGGTTGGCTACGTACGGTGCGAAAGAAGTTCAACACACCACCTCTGAGCGTCTTTATCCTCCCTACTTCTCCCCCCCCCCCCCCCCGTCCCCTCACCCCATCTCACTGTGACCTCCAGAAAGCCAGCTGATGGAATCAGGATTCCCGGCATACACCACGTCCTGTGCGTGGCTTGGCTACCCAGACGCCGAACTCAGACAGGTGCGGCCCCAATTCACCTGTGCCTCGTTCACTCACCTGTGTCACCTGGACCTCACACCTGTGTCACCTGAACCTCACACCTGTAATGGAACGCTTGTCCTGTAAGGATCCTGACGATGGTCACGTGTGTACCTCTGTCACTCCTTGACTTCCCCTCCCATCTCCCACTGTCTCACACTTCTCCCCACCCTTTTCCCAGCGGTGCACCGAGGCCCTGCAGGATGGCTGGACAAGGTGAGACAACGGTTTGCGGATGAGGGGTTGGTAGTGAATGGCGAGCAGTGAGGGGAGAGGAGTGAGCAGTGAGGATTGAGGGGTCAGGATTGAGGGGTGAGTGGTGAGGAGTAAGTATAGACGCGGGAGCATAGAAGAGCAGTACAACGATGGATTTTGTGCACTGTTCTCTGCTGCCTACCACCTGGCCCCCGTGGGATGCGAACAACCCAAGTCAGCATAGGCCGACAGGCAGTCCGACGAGCAGAGGCTATCGAGCGCAGACGTGCGTGCGACTGCAACGAAATCCCTGCCCGTGAGCACGTGGATGCCACGCACGCTGCCTCCTCCTCATTAATGCCGTTGATTACCTGCGTTGTGCCGAGCGCAAACACAATTAGCGCGATTATCTGAGGAGTTGTTTTGCTAGCGCGCGGCTCGACGCTGATTTGCATGAGAGGCGGCGCGGGGGTCGTGTTTACGCTGATCGCGCCGCGCTCCGTGTTTGCCGAGCGCTGGCGCAGGTTCAAGGTGAAGGTGGGGAGCTCGTTGGAGGACGACGAGCGGCGTTGCCGCATCATCCGTGACGTCATTGGGCCCGACCGTACCCTGGTACGAGTGGCATGCAGCAGCCCACGCACTACCCACACACGAGCCACACGCCGTCCACACGCTGCCCGCGCACTACCCACGCACTGCCCTCCCGCGCTGTCCCAATATCTCCATGCTGGCCAAGTGGTGATGATCACCCAGTGCCCTCCACTTAAAATGCATTTTGGTTTTGGGGGGGGCATAGATGCTGGACGCGAACCAGCGCTGGGACGTGCTGGAGGCCGTGGAGTGGATGCAGAAGCTCGCGAGGTTCCGGCCCCTCTGGATCGAGGAGCCCACATCTCCCGACGACGTGCTGGGTCACAAACACATCTCGCAGGTGCCACCCCGCGGGGTCACGTGACATGTGGGAACACAAACTTGATTTGAAGCTTTCGTGACTACAGGAATTACTCTTCGGTACACGGGGACACGTTATTAAATGGGGTCATGTGACACGCGGAGTAACGTGACAGATGGAGCTGTAGGCGGCACCACCATTCTACAACTGGGTGGTGCGGGGGGTGGGGGGAGTGTATAGCAAAGTCACGCATCTCTCTCACCTTAAACACCACGTCTCTTGGCGAGGAGACGCTGTAGCCGGGGGGCTCCTTGGCTGTCTTGGTGTGACGCTGTCTCCCGCTGTCTCCCGCTGTCTCCCGCTGTCTCAGGCGCTGTCTGCGCTGGGGATTGGTGTGGCGACGGGTGAGCAGGTGAGTTCCTGATACCGGTGCTGAGGTTTGAATTCAATGATTTTGGCCGATTTTTTTAATATTCCTTTTTCTACTGCGAAGTTTGTTGATTTCGTAGGGAAATGGTTACATGCAGGGAGTACAAATGCTGATGGGTGGGCTCGGGCGTGGGTGTGCGTTGTGTTGCTCTGTTGTGTCCCTGGTGTGAGGTGTCTGAGTTGCAGTCGTGATAGTTTATGGCCAATTATGTTTGGTTTATTTTTGTTATTTAATTTCCTCATGGCTCATTTAATTTTAGTATCGGTGTTAATTGGTTTATCAGCGTCGATTTCACTTGGGTTTTTTAATTAACTGTACAACACGCCCGCGCTGTTTACAATCACAACACCAACCAACCACCGAATGAGTGAGCAACTGACCCAACCAACTCCCTAACGACGAACGACTGAGCAAGCTAACCCACTCGCCCCCCCAACGGACACACGGACGTTCAAACAGTCACAACGGAGCCAGCTGGCATCGATCTAATGAGCGGCACCGTCGCGGTGGCGTGACCTGCGCCCCCAGTGCCAGAACCGCGTCGTCTTCAAGCAGCTTCTGCAGGCGAAGGCGCTACAGTTCTGCCAGGTGGATACGTGTCGCCTGGGCGGCATTCCGGAGATCCTCGCCGTGCTGCTCATGGCCCGCAAGTTCCAAGGTGCGGCCGGGGGTGGTCGGGGGTGGCCAGGGGTAGCCGTGGAGGCCAGACGCAGCCATTGGTGGGCACGGGGGAGCACAGGTCCAGAAGCTCGGGGGCAATGGGACAGGAATTGATGGTGGCTATGGGTGGCCCTGTGTATGGACGGCATCAACTTTGAGCACACCACGTGTATTTATGCATGTTGTTGAACTTTCGCACCGTATGTAGCCAACCGTGCTAATCAGAGCTGTGGCCTAGCCGAGTTGTGATGGGTTGTGGGCCTGACTTCTGTGTGTGCCTACGCTCGTGTGTTAATGAATTGTGTGTGCATGCGTGTTTGTGTCTTTATGTGAATGTTTATGTGCGTGTGTGTGTGCGTCCATGTGTGTATGCACCTGTGAATGAGTACTTACATTGTGTGTGTGGAGTTCCCATGTAGGGAGCGGTAGTGTAGTGATTGGCGCACTGCGTTATGAACCCTTGGACCCAAGTTAGGTTATCGCTCAATTCCCGGCCAACACTCGTGACAGGTATCTGAACCAGTGTTGGGCTTCCCCTAGATTGACTGAGCCTTAAATGAGAACCTATAACGGTGTCTAAATATCAGCATTGGGGATACAAAGACGGCCACCCCTTATGTGTCGGCCTGCATAGCTGCTCGCTAACAGCACTTTTCCCAACAGGCACGTAAAAGCTATACGGGGGATCTATGTCTTTGCAGTGCCCGTGTGTCCGCATGCGGGAGGCGTGGGGCTGTGTGAGCTTGCGCAGCACATCAGCATGTTCGACTTCCTCTCCGTGTCCACGTCGCTGGAGAACAGGTGACATCACGCTTAACGTCACGCATGTCGCATGGCAGCGTGGTCAGATTTGGGGAGGGAAGAGGCAGGTGGGGGACGATCGAGATGCGTGTCCCGGGCCCGCGACTCTCGACAGACTCAGACAAACATTGACGTGACGGATTTAGTGAGAAAAGTCAGATTGTTTATTCGTGTCGTTGCGTTGCTCTGAATGTTAAAGAGGAGGAGAAGTGGAGCGATGGTTCTTGCCTGGTGACCCGGGATCAGGAACACCCACATCCGGCTCTGGCCGGTTGTGTTGATTGTTTGGCGGTTGTGTTGATTGTTTGGCGGTTGTGTTTATTGGTGTGTGTGTGCATTTGACAGTGGAGTTGGGTGTCCGTTGTGTTGTGTGTACCGAGTGTGCGTGTGTGTGCTGGTTGTGTTCTGTTTCCGCTTGCAGCAATCAACGCCAGTGATGATTATCTGAATCGGTCCTAGGCTTCCTCTAGGTCGACTTGGCCTAAAATGAGTACCTGGTGCAAACGTGTAAATGTTGCCACTGGGGAGACAAAGGCGGTCGAGCATGGTTCTGGCTACCCACCCCCTCGTTTAACGTGATGGCTTTCATAGGTGCTTGCTCGCAGCACTTGCCCCAATAGTCTATTGAGGCTATACAGGGGATCTGTGTTGTGCGAGTTTTGTTTTTGCGTGTGGCAGGTGTGACTTTTATTGCGTGTGTTTGGGGTGTGCGGGGTTTGAGTATGATTGTTCTTTGTGGTTGTGTTTGGCGGCACGTTGGTAAATGGTTGTTGGTACTTGATGCCGTGGTGTTGCGGTGGTTGTGTGGTTGTGTATGGTGGTGTGTGGTTTCGCACTCTGGTGTTGTGTTAAGTGGTGGTGTGCTGTGGGGTGTTAATAGTTGTGTGGTGGTTTGCGGTGGTGTGTGGTGGTGTGCCGTGGGATGCGGTGGTGTGTGGTGTTAATAGGTGTGTGGTGGTTTGCGGTGGTGTGTGGTGGTGTGCCGTGGGATGCGGTGGTGTGTGGTGTTAATAGGTGTGCCGTGGTGTCCCGCAGGGTGTGCGAGTACGTGGATCACCTGCACGAGCACTTTGTGTTTCCTGTGCGCATCCACAAGGCCGCCTACATGCCCCCCATGGTGAGGAAGCACTCACTCATCAGCGTCATCATAGCTATCATCATCATAGCTATCATCATCATCATAGCTATCATCAGTGTCATCATAGCTATCATCATCATAGCTCTCATCATCATCATAGCTTTCATCAGCATCATCATAGCTATCATCATCGTCATAGCTCTCATCATCATCATCATAGCTCTCATCATCATCGCTATCATTGTCACCACACTCATCATCATCATCTGGGCTGAAAGCCTGAAGGTGTCTAATGCAATTTGTGTCACTTGTTTCCACTGCTCTCTACCCTGTGCCAACATGCTGAGGCGATGTGCATCTCTCTGGCACCAATCTCTTATTTATCCAGCCATTCCCTACAGGGTCTTGCTCTTCTTCCAGCTCCCCCCATTATTCCTATCATTACAGTTTATATCTTCCTGTTGTTCTCCATCCTGCATATGTGCCCAAACAAGCTTCGTGTCCTTCTCAGTGCCACTTGCATCAAGTCTTCTGTTATGTTCAGCCTTTTCTCACTTCTACGTTTGTCACTCTCTGCGTCCAACTAAGATGTAGTGTCCTACAGCAGTACCATGTCAAATGCAACTATTTTGTCCCTGTCAGTCTTTCTTATTGTCTAAGTTTCGCAGGCATGCAGAGCTGTGCTGGAAACGCATTTCTTTAGGATGCTCAGCTTGATTTTGTAGCTATTTTGCCTGCTTCTGTATATGTTGTTAAATCCTGCCGTTACTCCTTTTGCCTTCTCGACCGTTGCTCTTATTATGTCCTTCGTAGAGTCATTGTCCCAGGTCGACATGCTTCCCAAGTAGACCATTTTCTTGTACATGCTCTATCTTTCGGTTTCCTATCATTCTCACTTCCAAACACCATCGTGTTTGTCGTTTCCACATTGACCCTCAGTCCTGCATTCTTTGCTGAATTATTCGGTGTATGAACACTTTCTTGCAACACTTTGAAAATCCACAAATCAGTTGTATAGAGTTCTATGTTTTCTACTTGCTCTCTGTGCTCTCAGCTTTAACATAAAAGAGAGCTGTACGGCGCTTGTGTCCCTCCAAAAACCTGCCTTTTAATCAGCAAGATATTCTTCTATCTGCTGTTTAAGCCTATTCAAAGGTACTATTGAAGTATGGGAATTGACGGCAGGAACTTCTTGACGGGAACACACTTTTATTAAATCTTTACGTATCAAAATACAACGTGTAGTCTCCTTTCTTCCGACTTCACACTCCACTACTCTCGTGTAAACTCTAGGCCTCTGGCTACACACGATACCCTTCACTCGTGTAGACCCTACGCCTCTGGCTACACAATACACTCGACTCGTGTAGACCCTATGTCCCTGGCTACACAATACACTGCATTCGGCTCGTGTAGACCTTACGCCTCTGGCTACACACACTACACTCGCCTCTGGGTTACACAGAGTCCCGGTCCCGTTAGGACAGCGGGACTAGGTACCGCAGGGCCCTAGGTCTTCATCCCCGTCTTCATTCTTCGCTGGTTACACACTGCCCTCACGCCTGTGTGCATCCCCTTTTATAGCCCCTGCTCACGAGAGGCGGAGCTGATGCGTACTTCAACGTGAGCATCGCTCCTTAATGAACCAATCACGACGCACTCTCTCTACGATCCGTTTTCCCCAGCGCGTGTTAACACTCCTCCACCAATCACACCGCGCTGCCACCCGATCACTCCCTCTCAGCACGTCACCCGTCCACAGCCAATCAGTACCCCGTAACCCACGACCCCGCGCTGACCCCTGATCCTCCACCGTCAGCGCACGTCACCACCTACACAGCCAATCATTACGCGGTGGCATACGATCTCTAATCCCAGCGCGTATCACCTCTACATCACCCCCTCCCACATAGCTTGCAGCCGGCCCGGCTGTTAACCAACAACACAACCTAACGTCAATGCAGTAACAAAGAAACTCCACCTCTCAGTGTGCCCCATAACGCAACAACAACAACACAACACAACACTTAAATATGAAGCAATATACAGCCCGACGAACAACACAATAAAAGCGAACACCGGAAAACGAACACAATAAAAGCGAACACCGGAAAACGAACGCGCCAAGTGTCTCTGTGACTAAACGCAGTGCCGAGGCGCTCCGGCTGCCTCGACTCCTCACGTGGCAGGTCACACAAAGTAGCGCGACCTAGCGCGAGTCCGTCTGGCCGGTCCGTCGTATGGGACGGGACGTTGGCGACCGTCCGGTGGCTCCGGCTGCTCAAGATCCGGCCGCCGGTGGTCGGCAGCTGTCAGTTCCGAGACACCTGGGAGCGGATCAGGCGGAGACATGTGAGGAGCAGGCAAAGACAATTCCCCCTCAGGGTCGCTGGTCACGTCACATGCTCGGCCCTCATGACACAAGGGGAGGCCATACGGAGGCGAGAACGGTTTCAGTCGGGAGGGGTGGACGTACCAACGGCGTTTTCCCCATTTTATCTGAACGCACTGGGGGCGTGCAACCCGCACGACCTCCACGGGTCCCCGCCACGGCTTCAACAATTTAGGCGACGTAGCCAAAGGTGCCTGCGGGCAATGCAGCCAGGCCCTGTCACCTGGTTCCCAATTGTGCACGGACACCTTCCGTGCCCGCAACCGCTCGTTTGCAATTTGGCGAGCCCGTGAATTAAGCCGTGCGGCCTCCCTTGCCTCTGTCAGCTTATGAATATTAAATTTAATATGCTCTGCCAATTTCGAATTTGCTCGTGGTGCGGACAGACCCAGCTGCGTTTCCATGGGCGGGTCGGCTTCCCGACCGTACATCAGATAAAACGGGGAAAATCCCGTAGCTGCATGGGGGGCCATTCTATACGCGGCGAGGACCCCAGGGACCTGCAGGTCCCAATCAACATGCGCCTCACACACCTGCTGGCACAACATAGAAGTCAATGTCCTGTTAAGCCTCTCCACCATCCCGTCCGTCTGCGGGTGGTACGGGGAGGTACGCACCTTCTTGGTACCCAACAGGTCGCACACCTCTTGCAGTAATTTACTCGAAAAATTCTTCCCTTGGTCAGTCAGCAAGCGTTCGGGAGCCCCCTTGTCCAGGACGTAGCCCTGGACAAAGGCGTCCGTCACAGCCGCCGCCGACTGGTTGGTGAGTGGCCACGCCATAGGCCACCGGGTAAAATATTCGACCCCCACCAACAGGTACTTATTACCCCTAGGCGTGACCGGAAAAGGCCTCAGAATGTCGAGTGCAACGAGCTCGTTAGTGCGCGAGACCTGGATGGATTGCAGCGGTGGATTAGCTGGCACAGGCGGTGGTTTCCGTCTGGCGCACTCAACACAACCCTTCAGAATGTTCACCACGTCACCCCCCATTCCCGGCCAATAATAGTCACGCTGAAGCAGGGCAAGCGTTTTGTTAACTCCCAAATGCAAGAGGCGTTCGTGTGCGGCCAAGACAACCTTCCCCCTCACAGCAGCAGGCACCACAATCGCATGCCGCCGGGACAAACTGTCCCATCTCATCAATAGGCCTTGCTTAAGCTCGTAGGAGCCAGTTCGGTCGTGGTTACCTTCGGAACCCCCCGTCTTGCGGCGCAATGCCAGCAGGGAGCTGTCCGCCATTTGGAGACGGCCCCACTCAATCAATGACATTGAGAGCAGCGAGTCCTGACCCCCAGGGGTAGCGGGACCATCCCCAATTGGTGTGCTCGCGGCCGCAACCAACGCCTCCCTACCTTCCGTAACCGGCGGTTTACAGCGCGCCGATCCCGATAAGCACGCACATTTGTGACAAGGCAACAACCGCGACAAGGCATCGGCATTTGTGTGTCGCAAGCCTTTACGGTACGTAGTCGTGAACTGATAGTCCTGGAGGACTTCCAACCACCGCGACAATTGGCCCGAGGGCTGGGCGACCCGCAATGAATACTGGAGCGCCGCGTGGTCCGTCCGGACCGTGAAATGACGACCATAGAGATATGGCCTGAATTGTTGTACAAAAAAAACAATGGCAAGCAGTTCGCGACGGGTGACGCAGTAGCGCTGCTCTGCCGGCGACAACACCCTGCTACCATAGGCGACCACTCGTTCGACCCCTCCAACGACTTGGGACAGCACTCCCCCAATGCCCGTGTTGCTAGCGTCCGTGTCTAGCAAGAAGGGACTCGCGAAGTCCGGATAGCGCAAGGGTGGGGCCCTAACCAAGGCGTCCCGGAGGGAGCAGAATGCAGCCTCCTCCTCCGGTCCCCATCGGAACTTCACTCCTTTCGCCGTTAGAGCGTGCAAGGGTTTTGCAATGGTGGCAAAGTGCTCAACGAATCGGCGATAATACGAAGCAAAACCGATGAAACTGCGTACGTCTGACACTGACGTGGACGTTGGCCACAATGTGACCCAAGTACCTCACGGATTTACGAAAAAGGTGGCATTTGGCCGGTTTAAACTTTAATTTAGCCGATCGCATTCGCAAGAACACCCCCCTCAATCGCTGGAGGTGTTCTTCAAACGTTTTACCGAAAACAATGACATCGTCAAGGTAAATGAGGCACGTATCCCACTGCAAGCCCGACAAAACCAATTCCATAAGACGCTGAAACGTCGCCGGAGAGGAGTGAAGTCCCATGGGTAACCGGTTAAACTGAAACAGGCCCCCTGGAGTCCGAAATGCGGTCTTAGGCTTAGACTCTTCGTCGAGTGGCAACTGCCAGAATCCGGATAATAAATCAAGAGTCGAAAAGTATCGCGCACCAGACAATGCGTCGAGAGACTCGTCCATCCTGGGGAGCGGATACGCGTCGGCCACAGAGATCTTATTCAGGCGACGGAAATCGACGCAAAATCGCAGGGACCCGTCCTGCTTTTTAACGAGCACAATAGGCGCTCCCCAAGGACTGGAGGAAGGCGAAATAATGTCGGCTTCTAGCATATCGTTAACTGCCGACTGAACATGTTCCTTCTCAGCAGGACTCAGTCGGAAGGGATTTTGCCTGACCGGTGCCGCATCGCCCGTTTCAATGTGGTGGCGTAGC